AAAATTAAATCGTAAACCATTCAACCAAAATATAACCATTATATATGTATAATAATAAAAAATATGTAAAACTATTTATTATTTACATATAAATTAATCTTTCCAAAAACTATTTAGTTATAAATATATGATGTTAACTAATGGTTTTGAAATTTCTTTAAACATAATTTGAACCCTAAAATAAACTCTAAACCTTAAATCTTTAAAATTTTAATCATATAAATTAAATCATAAACCAAAAAATCAAAATATAACCATTTTAAACTATATATCATAAACCAAAAAATCAAAATATAACCATTTTAAACTATATACAAATATTTTGTTTAAATTTATTCACTTTTTAAATTATAAATCACAATATACTTCTAAACAAATAATGTAACCGACAAAAAAAACGGATGATGTAACTATTATATATATAATGTTTTGAATTTATAAATCTGAAAATTGTGAATTTGTTTTAAAGTGTTTGATTTAATTTTTTAAAAGTCCCATAATATGTTTATATTCAAAACTGAAATTAAACACTTAAAACAATCAAAATTTTCAGATGATTTTATTTTTAAATCTAAATCATATCTAATACTTTACAAATCTTAAACCCCTATATCTAAATTATAACATAAAAACTATAGTACAATAACAAAATTTATCACAAAAAAAAAAAAAAAAGAGGAAAGGCTCTCATTGGTTGATCATAAATGACAAGGATTCCCTTTGGTTTATCATCAACCGTTGATAGAGTCAATCCAATGGACATAATCCTCTAATTATTTTCCTTTCTTTTTTCCTCCTCTCCTCATCTTGTCTTTCCTTTCCACGCAAATCACTTCTTTTTTTTCTTTTCTGTTTTTCTTCTCTTCTCTCTTTGTCTCCTTCTTTTTTTCGTCAAGTTGAAGAAAAATTGCAAAGCCCAGAAGATTAAATCCTTATTCAATTAATCGATGAGTTCTAGAAGGTATGTTCCATGAATTCATCAGATCGCTAGATTTCCCAACACATCGTTATTCAAATATGGAGATAGATCTGGGGAAGTTTGATAATTAAATAGGTTTCATCGCAGATCTGTGTCAATGACGAGGGCGAACATCGACGGACGCACATGACTGCCACGGCGACACCACTACTTAGCCGAGAGACGCCGTTAAAGTACTAAGGAGACAGAAAAATAAATCCGGCGACGGAAGAGTTCTAAGGAGACGGTGGCGGAGCAAAAGGCTTGTACCGCGGGTGGAGTGCCGGTTCTAACCCTCCACCGGTTAGGTTGCAGCCGGCAACTGGACTCGTCGGCAAACGAAATCCGGCTGAAGACACGGGCGGCGGCTGAAGACTGAGGCGGCGGCTAAAGACTGTTATGTGATTAGGGTTTTTTTTTGTGTTTTTAGCATCCGGTTCAACCGGGGTTTTGTAATTGATTCAATTTGGTAACTCTTAACCATTCCCGGTTTGGGTGCTTTATTAATACAAATATATTTATTAATTAAAAAAAAATCTTTTCACGAAATCTATAAATATATATATATATATATATTTGAATAAAAAAAATTATTTTCATTTTGTTTGATTAGTCGTTAAATAGACACAAAAGATTTGGCGACTATTTAATGTCTATCTTTAGAAGACCATACGATCAACTGAGTTAATCGTAATTTAGTCGTAACTTAGTCATCTATTATTACGACTATTTGACGTCTACCTTACGACTAACTTCTCGTTGGCTACAATAGTCGTAAATTAGTCGCCTTTTAGCGACTACAATAACGACTACCTATTTTAGCGACTAGCTATTTACAACTACAGGATTTAGTCGCCAAATAGTCGTTAAAGGCAGTTTACCGACTATTTGGCGACTAATATGGTAGTCGTTATCTGCCTGTTTTCTTGTAGTGTCCGTACCTCGAGAGACATGAGGTATAGGGACAGCTCGTATGGCGTGCAGGAGTGGGTAGAGAGAGGCTGATCTTGTACGGCGCAGTTTCCAGCCTTGGGGGCCTGTCGCCTCCTTGACTGTTGCGTGTAGTGGAACACCTAATTGTCGAGGTCCCGCGGGGCCAATAATGTCGAACAAGCAGCCCTGCGGCAGCCATGAATCAAACCAAAAAGACGCAGTGTCCCCATTACCAATCTCCACGCGAATGAATGGTTTGATGTCTTCCCTAAGCTTTAGAAGCTTTTTCCAAATCCAAGAACCCAGAGTTGAGCTTGGAGCTGACCAGAAAGACCCACCCTTCATCAAATTTGTCTTAGTCCAAGCCACCCAAGGAGAGCCCGATAGTGTAAATAACCTCCATATTAACCGGTAAGCAAAGACACGAGAAACATCACGCAATCTTCGCAGACCCAGACCTCCTTCCGCCTTTGGCTTACAAATCTCTGTCCAAGCTACTTTAGCCCCCGTCGAGACATTAGGATTACCCGACCAAAGAAATAATTTTTGAAATAATTATTCTTGGTAAGTTCAGAATTCTTAGGTGTTTGGCAATTAGTATTAATATAATCAAATAAGTTTTTTTAAGGAAATAAGAGTTTTTGGCATGTGAGATCCAGATCCCCTCGGATCAATATCTTTGTACACAAAACGACACCAACGATTATAGGCTATCTGAAGCTTCTCATCAGAACTAAGGGCTCCTAACTTGAGATCATCGTCATTGTCGTCCATTGGAAGAAGACTAGAAGGTTGGAAAAATCGGCGGTTGGGGATAGTGAATTAGGGTTTTTCAAATCTTTTATTCGGATTTATGTATTAAAAGAGTAAATTAGTTAAATAGGATTTACTGAAATATATATACTTTATCTTATAAAACACAAGTCAGTAGGCTAATAAAAATTTGACACATGCATGGCATTCTAACTAGAATTAAAGAAAAATAATAAAATAAAAATTCACTAATATATATATATATATATATATATATATATATATATATATATTTAGGCTGGTTATATAGAATTTTTCATAATCCAAAATTTAGTGATAGTGTTGTTTTAAAAAAAAAATTAACTAAAGATAAGTTAAAATACATTTAGAAAAAAATATATTTAGTGACCGAAACATATTGTTAGGTAATATCCAGTGGCAATTATAAATATATCAAATATTTTCAAAAACATCAAATCAATGAAAAAGATTCATTACTAAATCATTTTTGACTACAATATAATAACTATTTTAAAATTAAACAAAAACAAAGAAAATATGTGGACCAAAAAAGATTAACTTAAGAAAAAAAGCAAAATATAAGCAAAACATAAGCAAAAGTTTTTTTTTCTTACATATTAAATAAGAACTACATATTAAATCTATTTTTTAAATAATTAATTGGATGTTCATAAACTAATTAACGTGAAAATTTGTTTGTTTCCAAAACTTTCAAGTTTTATAAAAAACACTTTGATTAATATAAAATTCTATATGTGTACTCCGTAATACACATGCATTCATTCTCCATCGTTCAATAAAAAAATTCAGTTATATTTATTATTTAGAAATTAATTCAGTTATATAAATTAATGTTTGGGTTGATGCCCTGAAAAACATGGAAACCTTAGTTGTTTTATTTGGGTTGGCCAGTATATACAGATTTTGTAAACTTTCATAAGTAATTAACTACCAAACAATTTAAATTCACAGACGATAAAGTTACTTATCTCTTCATTTTCCTTTTCTTCCGTAATTCTTTTTTTCATATTAAGTATTTCATCTGTGTTTTTTAAGCTGGAAACAACACGTCGTTTGAGTCAGATTTGACATTGAAACAGACCGGTGGCGGGGTTGGATTTATTAAAAACCCATTAACTATTTAAACAGATATTTTAAAAAAACATAAAGAGCCACCAAAACCCGTGAAACGGATGATCCAAACAAATGTCGTTTTCGACATAATTTATTATATTTTCTATAAATTTATATTATTTAACTTAGAACAAATAAATCATAACTTGTGATATAAACTACAAAACCTTTTGACACTAAAATAATATAAATTTAGTATTTTTTATTATATAGATTATATATATAACTATATCAAAAGTATAACCTTTTTTAATTTTTATATTATTTTATATTATTCTAGTTGTCAATAACATTTTCATTATATATGAGATAGAAATTATTCAAAAATTTTATATCTGACTTAAATTTCTTACAAATGTTACAAAGTTTCATAGTTTTTATTCTTAATTTTGTATATATATAAACACATATATTTAGACATATATATTTCAAATAAATAAAAATGCTAAAGGAAGTTTAAAAAAAAAAAAAAAAAGCTAAAGGTTTTGTGAACCCGGTTCAGCCCGGTCGGCTAATGCTTACGGCTCTATCAAACTTCACTCTTTTCCTTCTGCCCAGAACAAATCTTCCTCTCTTATTCCTTCTGTTCCCGACGACCTTCTCGAATTCGAATTCAACGCAAACATTTGTCTGATACATCTATCGGGTTCAGGTGAGAAGTCTATAGCGTTGTCTCCCGCATTGTTCAGATTATTGCAATGTTTTGTGTTCTGATTTTGGATTTCAAGTTCCTTTATTTGACTCTCAATATCTATCTTCATTGAAATTTGTTACCAAAATTGGTATATGGATAGTAGTTCTTTCTCTGGACTTGCTTATATGTGTGTGGAATCTATTGTTATTTCCAACATTGGCATAAGTTTCTTTGTTTGATGTTGAAGAATCAATCTTTTGTTATCAACATTATTGTTTTTTTTTGGGTGAACGACCTGTGTCCCCCCACGAAGTTTCATATAGTATCATAACAACACAGATTTCGGGTCTCGTCTCCAGTCCACACAAAACGAAAGTTAAACTCCAGTTTCCCCCTAATTTGAAAGTTTTAGATCTCAGTCTCCATAAATTCAAATTTCGTGGTTTATCTTCGGTTTACTGTGCCGAAACCGATGCCAAACCAAAACCCAGAATAATAAACCAATTTGAAACCCAATTCGACTTCTCCCAACCCGAAATAAAAACCATTTTCAAGTATCCCCAAATTGAAAAATCTTAGAACCCTAATTTCGATTTATCTCTTCTTCCTCTGCGTTTTCAATTTTTTTCACAAACCTAAGCTCGAATCTAAGCTCGAATATGAGCAATTCATCTGGAGTTACGAGTGGAGCATCAAATGTGGGACAGAGAAGGAGAGTTGTGGGTGTGCCGAAGATGTGTTGGTGTGGGGCTAGTATCTCGGCAATCATCTCAAAATCCACCGCCAATCCATACCGCCGTTACTATCGTTGTGCTTATGCTGCATCACATAAGGTAATGTGATTGATATTTGGATTGTTTCTTACAAATTTTGACTTTAATTCTCTGTTATCTGTAGCTTATTGATGATAACCACACTTTCAAGTGGGTTGACGAAGCATTGTTAGATGAGATAGAGAGATTGGCGGTAAGAACAGCTGCACTTGAACAAACCATTTCCCAGATTACATCAGAGACTATGGATCACCAGAAGATGATTTTTGAGAGGATGCAAATGAAGCTAGAGGAAGAGATTTTTGAGAGAGTAGAAGCAGAACTGTTGGAATCCAAATCACTCATGAAGAAAATGTCGATTGCTGTCATTGTAGGTTGTATGTTCATGCTTGGTTTGAGTAAAGTGATAGGCTGAAACGAGTGTATTGGCTTGTTATTGTTGGTTTATGTTTGTGCTTCTAATCCTTTTATGTTCTTGTTGTTTTATGTTCTTGTTGTTTTATGTTCTTGTTGTTGTTGTAATGTCAGTTGTTGTTGTAATCCTTTGATCTCTCTTTTGTTAGTCTAATGAAAACACAATTTGGATCTTGTTCTTGTAGTTTGGTAATGTGCTATTCGATAACAGAGACAAATTAGATTGCTTAAATGCATAAGTAGGTTCAAAGCAATGTATTACAACAAACCTACCAAAAGAGAGAGACATAACAATGTACCATTACACATGGTCATGAAACCAAAAACACAAAGCCGAGCTACTCTAATTCTTATCAGATGGTACACCAAAAAACCTGCTGCCATCTTACACTACTCTAATCCTTCACTCTAATCCTTCACTCTAATCCTTCAGCCTTGAGACATCACCACTCCTTGAGACGGTTCCACTTGACTGCCATGAGTTACAGTCCCAACTCCTTCAAAAGCCTAAGACAAAGCATGAAGCAAAACATGTCAGTAACCTATTATGACCAACTGAACCAATAAGTAATCATACTTACCAATGCAGAAGACTTCTTCTTCTTATGAAACCTGGAATTGTGACCAGCTGCATGACAAACACCACAGTGCATTACCCTTTTCATCTGCTTAGGTGCCATCTTTGTAGGTGACTCATTCTTTCCCTTCTTCCTCTTTTTGTCCTTTTTACTCTCTTTTCCTTTCTTCCTCCCAGGTGTAGGACTCGGTTGAATTATTCTCTACATCTTCACAGTAGTTTCCTTGCTTGTAGAATGCCCTGCACCAAGTTCTTGGTTTTGACTTGACAACATCACGCCAAACTGCCACATTGTAGTTGTAAAGCTCAGTCATGTGAGCTTCAAAGCTGCTCTCATTGTAGCTCCATGCCACATCCCAAATGTACTTCTTCATCTCTTTATCTTTCCCATGATTCTTCTTCAGATTACCATAGATGTGTCTCACACACATTCTATGCTCTACTTTTGGTAGCTCTAGCTCAACTGCTCGGATCAAACCCTGTAAAAATAAAGAAATCTGTAGCTTATTATATCATGAAACAGAAACAATAAATGATTAAATGTGAAGAAATCTGAAGCTTATTACCTTTTGACGATCAGACACTATGATGTAACCATCACCATCCATTAGTCCCAAATCAACTTTCAGCTTCCTCACAAACCACACCCAATTCTCTATGTTTTCTACTTGAACACAGCCCCATGCTATTGGGTATATAGCATTATCAGCATCTCTACCTAAAGCAACCAGCAGCTGACCTTTAACCTTTCCTTTGATAAAGGTTCCATCAACTCCTATCAGTGGCCTACAAGACTCTTTCCATGTTCTCTTAATTGCATCAAAGCAGACATAGAACCTATTGAATACCTCTTGTCATGCATCATTTGTCACAGTCTGCACTTCAACAGTTGAATCTTTGTTGGACACTCTTGTCTCTTCCGCATAGTCTTGAAGCCTAGCAAACTGATTATCATATTCTTCTTCTATCCATCTCAATGCTTTTCTCCTTGCAGCTTGACATTGAGGCCTGGAAACTGTGATCTTCCATTTCCTTTTAATGGTTTCTTCAATCTTCATAGGCATGAAATACTCAGGTTCATCTCTAATACTATCTAGAAACAACCTAGCAATAACAGGAACCTTCAACATCTCACACTCTCCATTCGGATTACATGTGTGGACATCCTTGTACACGTTAACTCTCCACTTAGAACATTTCTTCGTGACTGCACAGTATACCCGCCAAATACATCCATCCCCATCACATTTAAATCCAAGCTTCGTTTTATCATACCTGTATTGTGCAATGTTGCAGCCTGTCTTCAAAGCATGGTCTAGAACAGCTTCTTTAAAAGCAATGTCGCTGAAGAATGTCTGGTGATAGTACAAATTCCCACCTCCGCCTCTGATGTTGTCTCGTCTTCTCTCCCGAGCAGCTTCGTCTTCTTCATCTTCCTCACTGTCTGGATACTCATCATGTAGAATCGAAGGTTCGTCTCTAAACTCCATTACAGCCTTCTCGATTTCAAAAGCGTCTCGCTCCCTTGGGTCTTCATCGTCGGGTTCATTGTCAGGTCCATTGTCTCCTATCGGATCTCCTTCCTTTTGCGGACCAACTCCAGTAGCCTCCTCATGAACGACGACAGCATTCGTATCAACCTCATTCGAATCCATCAATTTGGGGATTTTTTGATTCTAGGGTTCTAGGGTTCAATTTGGGGATTTTCTATTTCTAGGGTTAGAGAATTTGGGGATTTCGCGATTTGGGTTTGGAAATATCGGGGGGGGGGGGGGGGGGGGGGGTTAATGGGTCAACTAAACGGGTTGGGTTCTGGGTAAATCCGGTTTAATTTCGATGTTAATGGGTTAATTTGGTTTTCGGCACAGTAAACCGATGATAACCCACGAAATTTGAAATTATGGAGACTGAGATCTCGAAAGTTTATGTTAGGGGGAAACTGGAGTTTAAGTTTTGTTTTGTGTGGACTGGAGACGAGACCCGAAATCTGTGTTGTTATGATACTATATGAAACTTACTGGGGGGACACAGGTCGTTCACCCTTTTTTTTTTGTATTTCAGATTTTGTGGATTTTCAAGGACAGTTATGTGAGCCCATTTGGAGAATATTACTAGTCATAGTGGTTAGCCATTTACTAGCCAAAATCAAGTAAATTTTCTAACTATAGAATTGGGGCTAATGAGCAGATATTCGATGTTAAAGATGACCCTAAACTGCTAACGATGATTGAGGTCAAGCAAAACTTATAGACCAGCAAAAACGTATGTCTATTCGCGTGACCTCGCTAATAAATTTGAGAAGGGATTGGCTGCAGCTGCTAAGCTATCCAAGGAGGTATGATATGATCCTAATTCTATGTTTGATACCTTCTTTTTTCTTTAACTACCAATGGGATTTAGAAGCTTCTCAAATTTTCTTAAATTTAGAGATATAAAAAAAAAAGCAAAATCGATAAGAATGAGGTGTTACATGTATTTGTTTTCTTCAGTTGACTTGACTTTACTTATTTTGTGTTACGTGTATCACGGTTGTGAGTTTTTCTACAAAGAAGACTTTGACTTGTGTTATCATCCTACAATTCAAAGTAAACAATAGTGAATGTCACATGATTTTTTACTGTTTTTATTTACAGAGACTTCTTGTTGAATTCTTATATAACCACTTGGTATCTGTATTGAACTCACACTCCCAAATTGCTTTGGAGTTCATTTCATTTGCCTTTTTTTTCTTCTTATTTGCAATGGAAGGGAAGCTTTTCTTGGTCCAATACTTGATATGGGTGATATTACTGTTAGGGCAGCTACATGGATACAAAAGCTGTATGGTGAAAGAGAGGAAAGCTTTGTTGGAGCTCAAGGACTACATGATCTCAGGGACTTATGCAAAATCGAACCTGGATGATGTTCTCCCTACTTGGACTAATGACACAAAGAGTGATTGTTGCCAGTGGGATGGCATTGATTGCAATCTTACAAGCAGGCGGGTTATTGGGCTTTCCGTTGGTCAGACGTTCTATCACCAACCTCTCCTAAATCTTTCTTTGCTGCATCCTTTTGAAGAACTTCGAAGTCTTAACTTATCTACGTGGACACAAGTCAAGGACGGCTCATTCAATGGCTTCATTGATGATGTTGAAGGTATATCAGGCTTTTCACAGTGTTGAGTTTACCCTTGTGGTCTCTATTTGGAAATAAAACTGAGAAATTTTTTAATTTTAGATAGGCTAAATCTAATTCTCCTTGTTAATTCTTTAAATCTATGTTAATCAAAAGGTGATAGTACCTTTTTCTACATTAACCGACTTGTTGATGTATATTGAGTGCACAATATAATTACATCCAATGGCTAGAGTCACGTTTTCTTCAATCTCATACAGTTCAACTCTCTTAATTACATGCATTTTCATCTAGAGTAGACTAAATATTATAATTGAACTTATTGAAGTGATAAGGGCTATCTTATTTTTGTATACTATGTTAACGATATATACATTTCTTTGCAGGTTATAAAAGCTTACGAAAATTAAAATACCTGGAGATTCTGGATCTCTCTTCAAATGCATTCGACAAACGCATCTTTCCTTTTCTTAATGCCGTGACGTCACTTACAACTCTTATTCTTCACGATAACTCCGTAACAGATTTGTCTATTAAAGGTGTGTATTTTCCATTTGTAACGAGGTGCCTATCGAGCATAGCCTACTCGTTGATGATGTATGTTTGGTTTATGTAATATTATGTCTTAATTGCAGTTCTTAGTTATCATTCTAATATTCTCATGGACTCCCTTTCAGAACTAAAGAACTTGACAAACTTGGAGTTGCTGGATCTGAGTCGTAATTATTTTCACGGTTCCATTCGAGGTAACATCCACGTTAATTGTCACTGTCATTTATCTTATGAATATAACTTTTAACAGATTTAAATCCGTACATATTTGTTGATTTGCCATCTCAAAGATCATCTTCTACATACTAACTAGTACGTGTCTTTCGTCATCTCTCTTTTTCTTGGGGCAGCACTGACTCACCTGAAAAGCCTGAAAGCTCTGGATCTAAGTACCAATTATTATTCTAGCTCAATGGGCTCAATGGAATTGCAAGGCAAGCATGGTTTTAATGTTTAACATTCTGTTATTGGGAAATTGGGAATGGATATGAATATAGCTTATTTATAAAATTTCGTAAATTACAACCCTTTGGCTTTTGTATTATTTCAGATCTAAAGAATTTGACTAACTTGGAAGTCTTGGGTCTTGCTGAGAACAATTTGGACGGACCTATACCAATAGAAGGTGACCTTTGCTTTTTACACCTCTACGATATGTATGAGAAGTCTCTTGTGACTTCTCGAGATGAATGCAACGACTCTTGTTATTCTCATTATCTCTATGTTTTCCAAATTAATTTTTTGCAGTAGTTTGTAGAATGAAGAATCTGCAGGAGCTCGATCTCAGAAAAAACCGTTTTGTAGGCCAACTTCCTCTTTGTTTAGGTAGCTTGAAAAAGCTACGGGTCCTTGACCTCTCATCGAACCAACTTAGTGGAAATCTACCGTCTAGTTTCAGTAGGCTTGAGTCTCTTGAGTATCTATCATTGTTGGATAACAACTTCACAAGCTTATTCTCTCTCAATCCACTCACCAACCTCACAAAGCTCAAGGTGTTAAAACTTTCATCAACATCGCATAAGGTACAAGTAAAGATGGAAAGCACTTGGCATCCAAAATTTCAACTGCGTGTTGTTATACTACGATCTTGCTACTTTGAAAATATCCCTTCATTTCTCATGTACCAGAAGAACTTGCATCTCGTTGATCTATCCAGCAACAGATTATCCGGAGACATTCCTACTTGGTTGTTGGCGAATAATTCAGAACTTAAAGTCTTACAGTTGCAAGAGAATTCATTCACAATCTTTCAAATACCTTCAAAAGTGCATAATTTGCAATTTTTGGATTTTTCAGCAAATCATATTGGTGGGGTGTTCACTAATAATATTGGTCGTGCGCTTCCGAATCTGGTAGAGATGAATGGCTCGTATAATGGGTTTCGAGGACAATTACCTTCGTCTATAGGTGAGATGAAGAACCTTTCACTGTTGGATCTGTCTTATAATAACTTCTCTAAGAAGCTACCTAGAAGCGTTCTCACGGGTTGTTTTTCGCTAAAATATCTGATGCTTTCTCACAACAAATTCACCGGCAATTGTCTTCCAAAAGGTACAAGATTCACTTCCTTGCGCAAGTTGACAATCCATAACAACTTATTTACAGGGAAGATCGGAGTTGGTTTGCTTGGCTCCACCAGGTTGTCGTTTCTTGACATGTCCAACAATCGTCTCACAGGTGCTATTCCAAGTTGGCTATCTATGTTATCTGTTTTGGAGGACTTGTTGTTATCAAACAATTTATTAGAAGGTACAATACCTCCTTCTTTGGTGGACTTGCACTCTCTTTCGCATCTGAACCTTTCTGGAAACCTATTATCTGGAGCCTTACCGTCACACACTGCTGCGTGGTATTTATTCCTTCACAACAACAGCTTCACAGGGTCGATTCCAGATACATTGTTGGAAGATGTCGTTATACTTTCTCTTGGGAACAATAAACTCTCTGGGAGTATACCGCAACTTGTCAACGCCCATGCAATAAGGATTTTTTTGGTGAGGGGGAACAATCTAACAGGATCAATTCCAAGGCAGCTGTGTGATTTGAGAAACATCCAAGTTTTAGATCTTTCAAATAACAAACTCAATGGATTCATACCTCCATGCCTCTTTAATTTATCATTCGGAGTGAGAGAAGATGAGATGCTTGTCGGTCTATATGGAATTAATTTTTACCTAGAGCGCTTTACGTTGGATATTTACAAATTCACATTTGTGGTAGAGGAGCTCGTGATAGAAGACGAAACTTATGAAGAAATTGGAATCGAATTTGCATCGAAGCAAAGGTATGAATCTTATACTGCATGAAGACTAGAGTACGAAGGAAAAGTACTTGATTACATGTATGGGATGGATCTGTCGAACAATGAATTAAGTGGTGTCATCCCAACAGAGCTTGGAGATCTCCCGAAAGTAAAAGCCCTGAATCTCTCTCACAATTTTTTATCTAGTTCTATACCATCGAGCTTCTCCAATCTGACAGATATTGAGAGCCTCGATCTTTCATACAACATGTTACATGGAAGCATTCCTTACCAACTAACCAGCCTTACATTTCTTGAAGTGTTCGACGTGTCTTACAACAACTTATCAGGAATCATTCCCCAAGGAAAGCAATTTAACACCTTCAAAGAGAGCAGCTACTTAGACAATCCTCTTCTTTGTGGACCACCGACCGACAGAAGTTGCGAGGTTAGCTCAGAGGAAGCAAATAATGGAGGAGAAGAAGGAAATGAAGCTGCTATTGACATGTTGATCTTCTATTATAGCGCTGCTTCAGTTTATGTGACCGTGTTGATAAGCATTGTTGTACTTATGTGCTTTGATTGTGCTTGGCGTCGAGCATGGCTCCGCATTGTCGATGTTTTCATCGTTTCAGCGAAACGTATGATGTCTTAAGATCTTTTCAGCTAAATTCTTGGATATTTCTATCCAAGGTAAAGCTCGAATCTACCTTGTTTCTGCAAGTATATTTGCTTAGGATTCCTATCCAAGCAAAAGTTTAAATAAAAGTTTTTTGCTTACTATACAGATCTTCACATGACTTGACTTCACTTAACTTATTTCGTGGTGTATATATGTGTCTTAAAGCCACACATGTATCACACGGTTATGATTGTTGACTTGACTTAACTTGTTTCCTGGTGGTATGTCTTAAACCACATATATATCAAACGATTAGGAGTGTTTAATACAAAGACCTTGACTTGTCTCATCATATAATTCAAAGTGTTTCGTTACAACTTACAAGAGTGAAGAGACTTCGAGCTTTTTCTAAATTTGTGTATGAAAGGTCTAGTTTCCCAAACCGGGCCTTGTGGCCTAGTGGTAAAGGGGTCACAGCTGTGACTTCCGCCACCAGGGTTCGAGGCACGGCCACTGGCAGGTTTACATAGGGTAATTGCCAGCCTCGTGGGATTAGTCCTTGGGCCTAGGTGAAGCATTTGGGAGACCCGCGGTTATTCAAAAAAAAAAAAAAGGTCTAGTTTCCCAAAACCAGTCTATTTTGGGCAAATCCAAAACCAGTCTACTGTATTTTTTTAAAAAAAAAATTTGGGCAAATCCAAAACCAGGCTTTCTAATGTCATCATTTGAATACTTTCCCCTTAAAAAATGGTTAGAACAATAATAAATTCTCACTTTTGGGAAAGTAAAATAATTAAGAGATAATTGGGTGGGAGACAATGGATCCAGACCAAATTAGTTTTTCGGTATAATCTTGTCGGGCCTTAAACATGATAAATATTTAGCCCTCTTTTTGGGCCGTTATACCCTTACGCGCTTCTCCTTTGCGGGCCAAAATTTAACCCAGTACTTGAGACATTGGAACTGATTTTGTGTTAGTCGAGGCAATAAAGGTTGCGTCTGACGCTTCGTTTCTATTTCATCATCTCTCTTCTTCTCATCCCGCCATTTCACTCAGAAAACCCTAATATCTCTCTCTCTCTCTCCAGTTTCCAGTCGACGGATTCTCTTTCAGTCGTTTCCGGCGACGACGGTATTTTTCTGTTAAAGCGTTGGCGGTTCGGTTTACATACTTTTTACGGTGAGAAAGGGCTTATTATTCTTACCGGTTTTTTTGTCCTTTCCGGCATCAACTAAAACCTCGTTTTCGTTTCGATTTTCAGTGAATTTTGTTTTGATTTTTGGTTCATTCTTTTAGTATTCCATCATGCGAATTGCGCAGATCTCTTTTTGTTGCCTTCTTGTTTTCGAAAACAAGTTTTATTTTTGTCGTTTCGTTAGACGTGGGTCATAATTTTTCTCTCCGTCAATGCATATAGTCAGTAATCTTTCACATATTTTATAGATCTATATCAAAATTTTATATTCCGGTTTAATCCTCCATATTTTCTGATAGATCTGCATGTTTTATCCATGGATCTACATGATCATTCATCTATTTTCGTAGATCTGTATTTCCCGTGTATAGATCTGCATAATTTTCACTACTTGTCATAGATCCGTTTTTAAACCTTGCATGTTTTGTTTTTTTATTAGTAGATCTCCAATATGACACTGTTTTCTTTCATTAAACCCTGCAGGAAATGGCAAATGTCGATTTGCCTTCTCGGCTATTCGCCGACAGGGAAGAACCTGCGGGTGATCGGGTGAATATGTACTTCAAGTTAAACACAATTAAGGCGGTCCTGAAGGCGTTGACGCCGGAAGAGCTTGACACCATTCGTCCTTGTTTTGGGAAGCTGCTTGATATCTACTCCAAGCCTGTTTTCTCTGGTAAATTGGCGCACTTTCTCCTCACCCGCCAGCTGAATGTTGTAAAACGTCATGAGATTTGGGTCATTTTCGCTGGGAAGCCAATAAGATTCTCTCTGAGGGAGTTCGGGTTGGTTACTGGTCTCAACTGCAGCCCACTTCCGCCTCTGGACCGGTCTCTCCTTAAATCTCCTCCTGGTGTGACGCCGTACTGGTTTACTCTCTTTGGTGGTGAGGAGTATTTCACCGGCGAGATGTTACTTGCGAAGCTGCGAAGGCCGAAAGCCTTGTCCCCTGAGTTGCGTGTCAAATATGCCTGCCTACTCCTTGTTGATGGTTTCTTGTCCAGGCGGTCGTACCACATGAAGATCCCCAAGTCTCACGTTGAGATGATTCGTGATTTGGATGCTTTTCTAGCATATCCCTGGGGCCGCTACAGTTTTGATCTGACCATGCGCTGCATCAAGTCGAGATCTTTAGACCAGCTTGCACAGGCTACTGTGGCCATTCAAGGATTTATCCACGCACTAGTTCTTGTGTTTGTCGAAGCTGTCCCTGCTGTGCTCTCTGCTGTTAGTGCTGGCACTGACCCCGAGTCCGGTGATGAAGATCCTTTCCCTGTCATAGCAATGAAACTTGAACCGGTCTGGGACTTGGATGGAGTTGACGAGGTATGTGATGGTTTAAGTGTTTTTGTAGCACTTCATGTTAAATAATGCATAGCTAACAAATTTATTTCTACATTTGGATTAGGTTGAAGTTTTGTCTGTACTTCCTGTTGGTGAAAATGTTGTTGGTATAGAAGACTGTAGCTGGCCGGATGAAGTAAGTGATCCAAGTGTTGACTTGATGCTGCAACAATTGGATGATGGAGTCAAGTTTAAGCGTGCGATGTTTGGTGGTGGGATTAGAGGCGCTGATGTGCATGTAGAGCCTCCTCCTCGGGTTATTGTCAAAAGGAAACGTAAATTGCGGGCCAAAGCGTCTGAATGTTCCACCTCTAGGGGGGAGTCTTCCCGGGCCAAAAAATCTAAGGTTCGTGCTGCACGTGCAAGATTTGCCTCCCAAGACTCTCCTAGGGATGTTCTGGACACTGCCACAGCTTTGAAAGCTGCTTTGAAAGAGGCCCAGTCTGATGTGTACGCCCATATCTGTGTTGAACTGAAGTCGATGGAATTGAGGTTGGAACGTTCCCTCAAGGATAATATCAATTCTGCGGTTGCTGCAGCCATTAGCGGGAGCGTGGTGGAGAATGTTTTGCGCGATGTTGGCATAGGTGTAGGTCAGCCTTACAACAAATCCCCATGTTCAGAGTCTCCTTCTCTTAGGCAGACTGATCCTCAACCATCCCCTGTGGTGGCAGCTTCTGGAAACCATTCTGACCAGTGTCAACGTCCATCTCAGCTGCAGCCACCAATCGTAAATGAACAAAATGCCGGACCTGTTGTACAAGGAGCTGCCAACAGCTCTATTGTTGAGGTAGTTACTATTTGATATACTCAGTTTACATACTGATTGCTGCCTTAATAACATTTTTCCTCTTTTTTAGGGTACCTTTCCATCTGAATCATCTGGTTCGCGCAGCAGGTCTCCTGCCGATGAAGTGGTATGTTATTTATCTTGCTTACCTGTTTTTTTCACTCTCTTCTTGCCAACTCTCTTCATATTCATATATTTTTCTCAAGAATGAGGAAGCTTCAACTGGAGGGGATTGCGGGCAGGGTCAGATTATAGCTAGGGATGAGGCTGTTGCAATGTCTGCAAAGTACAAGAAGTTGATGGTTAGTGACATCCCGCCTATGTAAGTTTTGCTAACTTTGTCTAAATGCTTTAATTTCGTTAAAATTGCTGTGTACGCATGGTATATAGATCTCCATTAATCTATTTACAGAATTATATTATTTCATGAACGTCTATGACATTTCGTGAACTTTATGAAGGTCATTCGGTGATGGTTTAGTGATCAAGGACTCTGAGTTGCTCATGATACCCACTATCATCCCTCCTGGCTATCCCAATGTTAGTTCCCTTCCTACCATATTTTTCCATTGCTGTTTACATTTGGTTTATGGTTTTTTATATTTTCATAGGTAATGGACGCTTGTGTATCTGTCTTGCGAGAGACCCTGTTTGATAACACTGATCCTGCTTCTGATCCTCGTGCTGATTTGCTACCGTGTAAGTTCTATGGCTCTCTGGCGGTTCTGTATGCTAAGTTCAAGAAGGTGAAGCGGAAGGAAACTTTTGAGTTTGATCCCGCTCTTGTCAATGAGATCAGTACGAGGTGTAAGGCAACAGGCAGAGTTTGGCTGTCGCACATTGAGCATTTGCTATTTCCATTTAACATTGATAAGAACAGGTGGATAGCTGTCCACATTGACCTGACCTCTCACACTCTCACTGTTCTTGATCCAACTGCTGCTGCACGCCGGGGATCCCGTCTTAAGCCTGAGCTCGAGTTTATATGCGAGATGTTTCCTTATCTGGTACGAAAGGTTGGTGGCTGTGATCTAATGAAGAATTTCCCCCTCCAGCCACTTACCTTTGCTAGGAACACCCATGTTTCCCAAGCGACTAACCTAGCTAACAGTGGGATGCTCTCCTTGCTATTGCTTGAAGCATATGCTACAGGCGGTATGGACAAGGCGGTGCTTGTTAACGAAGATGGCATGCGTCTGCGTGCCGAAGAGTTGGCGGTACAGATGTACGAGCACTGCCTTGGTGAAATTTGATGGCTGATGTGGCCTTACTCCTTGGTGTACTATCCTGGACTCTGATCTATCTATCTTTTTTTGCAACTATTCGGATTGTCAATTTCCATTCCCTCTCTGTTCTGCTGAACCTTAGTTCTTCTTTTGCTGTGTTTTGCTTCACAACTCTAGTATGTTCTATTAGTGTTTTTTTATCATATGTAGGCGAGAGGAAGATGTGTTTTGAACTTGAAGTGTGTTGTATTTCCATATGTTTTCGAATTATAATTGTTAGATATACGGTCAAGTGTTTGCAGTTTATCATATTCGTAACTTAAGTTAGAGGCGTACATTATTATTTAACTATCCACCAACAAACATAGAGATTTAGGGAGAAACATGGGCTAGTAAGATTACTTATACTTATTTAATTTTATTGGTTTAAAACACATAGTATTGCAGCGGGGTCCAAGCTTTTGCAACACTTACAGCCTTATTAAATAAAATAGAGAATTACGTTAATATTTTACAGTCTACACGCAACATAGCTACTTCCAAACATGGGAAAATTCAGAGCTACCAAATAGTTAATTTTAGCAAACCGGACGTAAGTTTAGGGCAACTCCATCCGAGCACCACTCCTACTGTGGATGATGGTGGCCACACCCAATACGAAACCTAGCAAGGACACCATGCCCATAGTCCTAATCATCCTCTCCTTCGCCCTCATTTTCCCTAATGCCACCTGCAGGGCTTCGTTTTCTTTTTTCAGCCTTTCAATGAGAGCAACCATTTCTTGAGTTTGTTGGGTTTCGTCTCCCTCGCCGCCACAAGTTCCCAGCTCGCGGAGCCTAGCGATCTCTTCCGCTTGTTCCCGAATCAAGTCCCTCGCCTCGAGTAACGCTACTTTCTGCCATCCATACGGCTTCTCTACATCCCGCCAGCGAAAATAGTCGCATACATTTTTATACCCTTCGCCGCACCGGTAAAATCTCCTCCCTGGATTAGCGTCCGTCCAAGCCTGACGAAGTACTGCTGTTTTACCGCAGTAGCAGAGGAAACCGCTTTCTCGTTGGACAATGCTTCGGTCTCCCACCGTTGAACTTGATCCACTTCCTGACGAGCTGCTCTTGTTTTTTGGCATCATTTTCTCCAACAAATAAGCCGTTATCCTAAACCTTTTTTTCTTCTTAAACTCACAGGCTCCAACCTCTCAAGAAATAACGGGCGTTGTTTTTCAACGTGGTGGACCCCACACCTTCACGCGGTGGGTATTTATTGTGTTCTCGTAGCTGAGAGCTCTACAAAACTAGGTTCCCTAGTTCGTGTCGTCACATCCATCATATCCGTTCACATAGTGTAGCGTTATCTTCAAGAGGCATTATCGTTTAGATATTCATATAATGTCTGAGTAAAACTACATTATCCAAGTTGCACTAATTTTTAATAAAAAAAAAAAAAAAATTCGGCTTCCCATCATTAATGCGTTCACCCGTTTTAGGTACTTTTTTAGGTATCCACTTTTGTTTTTCAATCTACAATGTAGAAGGCTAAGTAGATAGACATTCATGAAATTAAATATATTACATTCATAGGCGTGCGGACTCACACGATCAACGCAATACACCCGTTGTGCCAAGTTCATCATCGTTTTACAAAACATTAAAAAGTTTTTAACATGCGGCACTAATATTTTACAAGGAAAATTAGCCGCTTGATTTCTTCCGTTTCCATTTCATCTTAGACCGCCGAGCTGTTCGTACACATGCAAAAGGGACAGCTTACTTATCTGTTGAATTTAAAGAACCATTAGTTAGATAGCTATAAGTGGACCACTTATGTAGTGGACAATGTAAACCACCGTCTGTTAGGGATTAATATCTTACCATACATAGCTTCTTATTTATATCGGCATCTTGCAGGTCGCACGATTATGCCCAAGCCCATGGCAACGCGTGCAGCTCCGTTTCGTCTTCTTCGTTGATTTCTGCGTTAAATGTTATGTATACTCAAATTAACCCATATTCGCTGATATATTAAATGTTAGACCGCTAATTTAGGTAACTATACCTTACACTCCCCTGCAGAAAGGAATCTAGATCGTTTTGGCCTACCTGGTGGCCTTCGGGTGAGTGGTGGCAAGACATTCAAGGTCGCTATCCCATCCGGTACATTGCGCAGAGTGCAAAGGTCTGGGACTGGGTGGATGCCTCCGTTGTATGCGAGACTCCAGAAGAAGCTTCCATATTCTGGAGCTGCTAGGTCGGGGACCCTCATATCACACCGGACTGCAGCGGCTATTGCGTGGCTGCATGGTATCTTAACCATTGTGAACTCCTCGCAGGTGCATGTCTTATTATGGAGGTCCACAATGTAAGATAACCCCGTAGTTGTTTTCACCTCATACTGCTCGGGAGTGATCCTTATCACCTCGTAGGAGGTACCGCGTTCGTAGTTTTTCAAAACCAGCTCCTCCACCTTTGGAGTTAAGGGCATTGAGTGTAGCGCTGCCTTCTCCCTCCTCTTGGAGAACCATGTCATGAGAGTGGCTCGGATATACTCGAGTGTGGAAACAATAGGCAGCTCACGTGCCTCTTTTAGGACCGCGTTCAGCGACTCAGCCACATTCGAAGTCATGATGTTGTATCGCTGTCCATTGCAGTGGGACCTTGTCCAATGTTCCCATCCGATTGCCAGGAGGTACTCTGCGCACCGTGGAGACACCCGCTCTATTTCCTCAAAGTGCTCCGTGAAAGTTGTTTTTTTGAAAGCCCTTGCGGCTTTGGAAATCAGTGGTGCTAGTAGCCGCTGCTTAAATTTTGCCGCCACGTTCCGTTGGAGGTGCACGATGCATGCGCCATGCGCCGCTCTTGGGTACACCTGCAGCGAAAATGTTTCAGTTTGATTATGTAAATATAATGGTGCTGGTGTATTATACTAATTAGCGCGGTATATTTTTATGTAACACTTTATTAAAAATTATTAGTCTGTATACCTTGGTGAGCCCGCTGTAGATTGAATTGTGGCGGTCCGATACAAATGTCAAGTCTTCCTCATCCGGAATGATTTGCTTCAGGCACTCGAAGAACCATTCCCACGCCTTGTCGTTTTCCCCGTCTACGATCCCAAATCCTATAGGGAATATCTGAAAGTTGCCGTCTTGTGCGCTAGCGGTGAGGAGGCAACCGGCGTACTTACCCCGCAGGTGTGCTCCGTCGATTATGACCACCTTTCTCATAAACTTCCACCCTCTAACACTCGCCCCTAGTGCAACAAAGCAATATTTAAATCTTCTCTCCCCATTATTGTCTGCCTCCGTGTGTAACTCCGTCACCGTACCCACATTGGCTTTAGATAGCATGTGTAAGTAGGCTGGTAGGATCCCGTAGCTTCCTGTTGTTGAACCTTTAGCCATGTCCACTGCCAATTCTCTGGCTCGCCAGGCCTTCCAATAAGACACGTTGACACTGTACTCGTCCATCAAAGCTCGCTGGATGCCTATTGGATTCGGTCCTAGTGCTGCCCCGGCGTACTTGGCCTTCATGATCTGAGAGATGACGGAGGTGGTTGCTTGTCGCTGGTATTGACTTCTCACTTCCACTGGGCAGTTATGTTCTAACATAGCGGTCCGCAACTCAAAGTATTCTGTGTCTTCTAGGCGGACAAAGTAAACTCTCCATGGGCAAGCGTCGGAGACGCACCGTACAATGACTACGTCGTTTGTTGTGCGGTCGTTACGGTAACTGAACCTTCTGTTGATGGCATGGACGGCTATTTTAACCTTGCAGTCATCTCGATTCTTGAAAACCCTACCAACGAATAGCTCGTCCCCTTCGTAGTCCACATCTAGGACGACCAGTCTTGTTCTTTCCCCACCTGTTTATAAATGAAGCCCCATTTAGTTAAATAACTTTGTACATATAAAACGTAACATGTTATAAATAAACTTAGACACTCATTATTTGAAGTAGTAAACATTACCCTCTTCGTCAGTGTCATCAATAACCGGCGCTGCGTCACGTGCAAATGTGTGCGCTGGTATCTCAAGCAGCTGCAACATGGTTGACATAGGCGTCGCCGGCGGGTGGTTGATGGTAGCGTTAGGGAGGTCTTGCTCACCTGTAAATTTGTCCATTAGGATGCATGGTTCAGTATTAAATATGTAGATATGTGTTGTGGATTTAGAACATACCAGCCCCACGTGTTGGTGTAACATTTTCTTGCATTCCTGCTTGAACCCCGGCAGTAGTATCTTCCTCTGCCGCCGGAACTTGACCCCCACTGGTGCTTCCAGCTGAGCATATAAATCGCTGACCAAGTTACATATCCACATATATTTTTAAATAGTTATAATTCTACATAACACCTATTTCCCTCACCTTTCTCGAATTCAGAGAACAAATCCCTCGTCAGGCGAGTCACGCGGAGGTCGTGGTCGTCCGTCGATGAGCTACTCTCTGGGTTCAACACCGTCACCGGGGATCTCCCTGCTTCGTTAGCGTTGGTACTAGATTTATAGTATCTCAAGGCTGCGGAGAGGGTTGCAAATCCACCTGCGGCGTAAGTATGGCCCACCCAGCCTAAGGGTCCATCATCACTGTCCGCCACTTGCTCTGGCGGAACCTGTGTGCAGATGATGCTGTCTCCCACGGCCTTGTCTGCTCGCCGCCTCCTTTCCTTCTCAACGTCGTCTTTGCTCATGACTTCAGCAAACGCGAACTCGTCTAGAATCGGTACCACCTTAAACCCATCTATTTCCAGGGTCATCGTCAGATCCATTGGGACTACGTAAAGCTTCATCTCGTGGATATCCACACGCATAGCGAGGAACATGTCCATATCGTCGTCTGTCGCAATGTGGATTGGGACCGGTTTAACAGCTCCGTCAACGTCCATCCACTCCGGCATCTCGTATGTCAGCTCTACCTTCCCACGAGTCCGGTCTATGCCCATCTCGCCGAGCACTTTTTCTTTCGCAGCCACCAAACCGTCACCTTCTCTGAATCGTATGTGTTTGTGCTCCTTTCGTGGTAACGGTTTGAATCTCCATACACCGCCGTCATCTTTCTCCCAGTTACCAAGCTCCACACGTACCATGTCGCTTATCAGCTCGTTAGTAACCTCCATCGCAATTCCTGCTTGAGCCACGCGAATTATAAACCTAGTTAGTATATAGTTTAATGCTTTTTCAACTTTGTTTAAAAAAAACCGTTACCCTTTTGTTTACCTTTTAACTCTAGATGTGAAGCAGAATTTTTTTTTCTTGAACTCTATTTTTTTTGTTTTTTTTTTCTTTACTTGACTCTATGTTTTAACTCTCCCATCCACCCCCTATTTATTAGGTCTCCACAACGTGCCTTACCCCTTTAAAATTGCAAATCCCGCCTAAATCTTCGTTTTAAATTTTGCCGATATCTCCCAAATCAAGCCATTAAATGTGCGTCGCATCATTCCTTTTGCAGCCGAATAACACTCACTTCATCCGCAGTTCATTTAATGCATGTCAGAATGTGTTTCCGCCCGTTCGAAGAGGCAACGAAACTACCCCCACGCGCATGTTGACGGTGATGTCAGGTTTTTTTGTAATTAATTCAATCCCCGAGCCTCTTTAGCAAATTTTTTTTAGCATTGTCTTGGACGTCCAACGCTATTGTCTATTAGCTAATTTAGTCTCCCATTTCTACCTCTGCGCTAATTCTCTCAATAATTAAAATAAAACTGCGGCAGTTAAACGCAAAACAGACGCCGTGACCAAATGAGATTTTTTAGTTTGAGACTACAGTACAACCGAGACACACATCAACCAGAGATGAAAATTGTGAAACAATTTATTATCTAAAAGTTTTTTACCGTACCATTTTTTTCATAATTTATCTTCACCACAAAGAATGGTTTAACTTTAAAAAAAAAAAAACATTTCTTTCACAATGTTTACACCAAAAGTTTGTCTTTTAAAACATTATCTAAAAGTTTTTCACAATGTGGTTAAAAGAAAAACAACATTGTTTACACCAAGGCCACAATTTTTCTTCTGCTCATACCAGACCTTGCTCTTCTTCTTCCTTCTTTTTATGATCCAATTTCGCCATAGTAGTGGTTTTGTTCCTTTCACTCTCAAAAAACTAAATTGAATCCCGGCCCCCCTCCCAAACGATTTGAGAGGATCGGTTATAGAGGTGAGTTGTATTTATTTCGAACCTTCTAACTCAATAAAAGAGTTTCATATTCAGGTTATATTGGAGTTGTCGAGTCAGCGGATTAAGTCGAATCATACTAAACTCGGTACAATAAATGCGAATTACGGGTTACTAACCAAAAATCATGAAATTAGTAGTATATGTCGAATTATGCTGAGTTTAATAGATCGTGACGTGTAGGGAAGAACGACAACCTTTTTGGATGTAATACTAAAAGGTCTAAATTCTGGGAGGATCCTGTTTGAGCGCATATAAATTAGGGAGATTGTTAAGTCAACCCATCTTCTTAAATTAAATGATCTTGTTTTTTTTGGTAAGTGACCGGGATTGTGGGGCGTTTATTATGGGCTGTATGTTGCTTGGGAGAAGAGAGTCTCGCGGGTGGAACTGGAAGTGGAGTCAGAGTTGGTAGTCGGGTTTCTAAAGAAGGGGATTAATGCGTCTCATCCTCTGTCATTCATGGTACGTTTGTGCCATGGCTTTATCTCGAAGGACTGGATAGTCCGAATCTCTCACGTGTATAGGGAGGCCAACCGCCTAGCGGATGGGTTGGCGAACTATGCTTTTTCCTTACCTTTAGGATTTCATGTTTTAAATTCTGTTCCTTCTGATTTTGAGTTGATTGTAAGGGAAGATGCTCTTGGGTCTACACGACCAAGGCAAGTTCCGATGTAATTGTTTTTTTTTCTTTATTAAATTCTGGGAGACATTGTCTCCCGGTCACTTACCAAAAAAAAAAAAATTCATAATTGTTCGTTGAAAGTTAGTAGATTTTATTTTCCATTCCTATATAATATAATTATGATTAGTATTTCTTATGATTTAAAGGATATGATTTCAAAAAAAGAGAGTATTATCTCTTGATGTATCATGTATGTGGGATTAAATAATAATTGGTAAATGTTACATTTTTAAATATTTCAAAAAGTTGGAAATTATTTGGACTAATCTTATACTGTATTTTAGAAGTTAAAATATACCAAAATTTTATAAAGTTAGTTCAAAACATAGGTTAGACCCTTTTATCATTGACCCCCAAGCACACTCTTTTCTACTTCCTGTGGCAGGAAAGAACCAAACCGTGTACACGGGAACTGCTAAATTGCTAACGACGTCTCTTGAATTAATCTTAACCAAAAAATAATAATTTGGTAGTATATTTATTTTTGGTTTATTTTATTATATTATTTTTTTAGTTATGTAATAATTTATTATTTTTATTTTTATTAAAAATAAGTAAAAAAGAGAGAATTTGTTTTGAATATATTTTTTGGTCAACATTGGTCAACGATGGATTCTGGCAACCGGAGCATCAGAGTATGATGGTTATAGTGTTTACAACATAAGTATATTTTTTTATAATTTTGAAAATAGTTTGTAGGACTCATTTATGTCATTCAAAGTCACTATACTCAAAGCCGTCATGATAAGAAAACTCACATAAACTGCGAGGAACACAATGAGTTTGACAGTCCTAAAAGCCCTCATGAAGTGCATTCCGCCACACTACTTGTTTTACCCAAAAACTAGAACAATCAAAGTTTATCATTCTCAGCATATGAAGAACTCAGAATATGAACTTAATTTTCATCAAATTTACATACCACCAAAAAGAGCATAAGAATCAATCTCACGAACAGTGAAGCCAAAAAAGCCTGAAACAAGGTAGAAAAATAGTTAACATAAATCAAGAGACATGCAATGATGAAATGCAAGTTTAAATGAGAAACAACATACCCAAATACTTTTATTATCTTTAAAGGAGGTGAGCTGATACACAAGCCGGTATTGAATGATGAAGTAACGTGATGCTAAAATCATTTCAAACTTGGAACCAAAAGTCCCCGAGTATCGAAGATTTAGATATTTTCTCCCACCAAGACTCTCAAGACTTCTTAGGAGGAACACTTATTCCCCCAAACTCATGCTCATAATCCACTTTGTCCAGTCTTTCCAATCTTCCACAATTTTGTGCCATTCGAAACCAGATGAGTTCAACAAGGAGTAAAAAGCCATGAGCACACCATAAAACAAGGAGTAAAAAACCATGCTCCAAATATGTGGTACACAAGTAGGAGGATTCCAAATATGTGGTACACAAGTAGGAGGATCGCTAGCTCAAAAGCTTTCACGAAGTGATTACGAGAATAAAACATGTAGTTTTCAACAAACTTGATATTTAAATTATGCAGTATTTGTTTCTATTGGTTGAATTCTAAATGAGAACATATTTATTATTAATTAATTACTGTGCTTTTAGCCAAAATATTTAATAAAACGGGACAAAGAGAAAACTTCTCATTCTTATGATTAAGAACCATCATCCTATTAGTTCATTACATTGTTATGAGCATTATTGTTGTTTAATTTCTTTTAATAGCCATAACTTAAATAGAGTACTTAGTGACCATTACATAGGTATTTAACTAATGATAAGAGAAGTAAAAATTGAAAAAAGAGCTTAGCGAACTATAAAAAAACATGGTAATGAACAAATATATATGAAAATTTTTGTCCTCTTAGAGTGTTCATCTTAGCAAATTAAGTTTTGTAAAATAAACTGAAAATGTTTCTTCAAAATTCCTTGAGAATTGCTTAAAAATTCCTTAACATTTGTGAAATTTGTAAACATCAGCTAAAGTCTTGGTTAAAATAGTATTCTTGTTTGGATTTCTGATATGAATGAGAACCACGCTTACAAAGCTACCATAGCGAACAAGAGGATACCCATCATCATTTCATACGTTCAAGCGAGTGTCCTCATGAATTATGAGAGCCCTATGTCATAAAATAAAGTGTTGGAGAAAAATATTTGAACAAATAGTCAAAGAAGTAAAAGGGAATTTATGATTGAATTTGCCATAAAATTAAGATTGCTAAGACTGAATTTTCCATAAATTTTACCTTGGGCAAACTCTAATCCAACGGTGGTGGTGAAGATGCTCTAAATTTTTAGGAAAAATACTAGATCTGAAAATTTTATTTAAAAATTATCTAAATTTTAAGTTTTGAAACTAAATAACTTTAAAATTTGAAAATATATTTATTTTGCTAAAAGAAAATATAGAAAGAGCAAAAAAAAAATACATAAAGGGCCAAAAACAATTTTTGCCCAAGGGTCATTGTTTATGTTGGGTCGGGCCTATTGGAGGGGTTGAAACTAAATAACTTGAAAATTTGAAAATATATTTATTTTGCTAAAAGAAAATATATAAAGAGCAAAAAAAAAATTACATAAAGGGCCAAAAACAATTTTTGTCCAAAGGTCCTTGTTTATGTTGGGCCGGGCCTGTTGGAGAGGTTGTATCGATGGAGTGTAGATCTACTTATAATTTAACTCCCACAGTTTTATTTGCTCTAATACTAGTGCCGGCTTGTCCGCCAGTCTTTAGGAAAAAAAATATAAACCTACAATGCATAGTTCATGAAGAAAAAAAGAAAATCATAAGCTAAGAATTTACTTAATAGGTGCAAGATTTTTGTTTATCATGAAAGGTTTTTGCTGTGATGTTTAATTTGTATATATCCTTTTTTTGTTGTCTTTTGTTTAGTTTGTACTTCTTTGTCAGCTAAAGATGTTTGGATCCCATCGCTTTTATCTAACAAAAAGAAAAATCTAATTTAGGGTACTAGATCATGACCCGTGCTACATGATAAGTAAAATTTTATTTAGTAACAAAATTTTATATATTATATATTTTGGAAGAAAGTTTTGATATATTATAGTAGTAAGTGAATTTTTTTTCTTTTTTTTTTCATTCTATATATATAATATTATAATGCATATATTTTCCTTTTTATATAATACCCAATTATGGATAATTTTTCTTAAGATATGAAAACAGAAAGTAATATTATTTTTAAGAAAATAATATTGTTTGAACAATGAGTTTATTTATGCTAACAACCACAAAATAAGATTGTATATAATTCGGTTAGATCAAAAATTGAAATATCATAAATGAGCCATATCTAAAATGTAGATTATTTTATGTTAATTAAGGAAGTTAGCTATTATTTCATGGATTTCCGTACTCTTTCTCGGTCTGGTCCTCGCTTGCTGGGAAGCTTCTTCGACACCTTATGACTCCAGATTGGGCCGACACTGTCACTGCAATCCAAAGCCTTTCGGGGGACTTCTTGAGAGACATCCTTATTCGGTTGTGTTTTCAGGTAAAGGTCTACATGCTATGGCGTGAGCGGAATGCACGCATCCATGGCATTGGCGGTATATTAGCAGCCCAGTTGATCCGCAATGGCGAGAAACTTATTCGTAATAGAATTTCGTCCCTCGATTACTCAAAGAAATCACGCCTCCGTCTTTTGCTACAACGATGGCTTATGGTTCGACCATAGCTTTGTTTCAGTCTTTTTGCTCTATTTTAGCATTCTTTCATATTTAATTTCTGCCATTATTGATAGCCTTCATAACAGTTCTAGTGAGCTTCCTTTTCAAACTGATGTACATAATTCCCTATTTTGATATATAAATTACACATTCAAACCAAAAAAAAGAAGAAGTTAGCTATTATTTTGAGTTAATTTATTTCTAATTCTTTGGTTATTGAAATGTATATTTGTTTGATCTAATTACAGAATTTAACAATTATTCGCATAATCAAATGTATTATGACATATTTTTGCTATATAATAATACCAAATTCAACTCGTGCGTAGAGTTCATATTTTCAAATTATAACCCCAATGAAAAATTTTCTTGTACAATCCATCATTCGTTATTTTCAAAATTGCTTGCAAAATCCAACTTTCAAATATTTAGAGGTTTTACATCTTATTGAAACCATTTTATCATATAATCTTAACCCGCAGTCTATTTAATAAGGATTATAACTCTTTCTATCATATAATATATTTATATTTAACCCGTGCTAGAAAAATCAAGTTAAATATTTATGAAATTCTTTAAAAATATCAAGTTAAATGTTTCCAATTAAAATATTTATAAAATTATACATTTCAAAAAAATAAATGTATAAAATTGAATATAAATATTTAAATTCTGATCCGTAACTTAGTCAAAAATTTTGTTGAATTTATTTTCGTTTAAATGCAATATATTACTCAAGTCTGAATTTTGGACCCGTATAATTCAAATCATGTCATATGCGGAAAAAATTACTTTTTTATTATATGGATGATATGATGATTTATTTGTTTCACAAAAATAGAATCATATAAAGATGAGAGGTGGAGTATAATGATTAATAACAAATTAATATGGTAAGTTAAATTTCAAATCTTTTATGTTAATTTTGTTGGTTATTTCTATTTTGAAAATTAAAAATGTATTTTTTATTATTTATTTAAATTGCATAAATTAATATTTTACTTGTTTATCCTTAATGAGCTGAATTAGTAATTTGGTCTTTGAAATTTTATTTTAATGACATTTCTAAGTAATAATTTACAAAGGATAAGATTATTTTCATAAGCGTATTTCCAAAATAATAGTATAGGATTGTAAGATTCAATTAAAATTAAGTTTTGGTTTACCAAAATTGTGTAAGAAAGGTCTAAAGTTTCACACCAAACCACTCTTGTTTAGTCTCCTCATTTTGATTAAGAAATAGTTAGAAAATAATTAAAAAGAATATCATGGCTGTTAAACACGAAACAGAACCCGTGACCCGCTCTGAGATTTTGAAGTTTCAGACAACAACAGTACGACAGAGACACACATCAACCGGAGTTGAAAATTCTTAAACAATTTATTACCTAAACCAGAAAACTTCAACACCAAATTAAATTAAAAAAAAAAAGACAGTGTTTCCACCAAAGCCACAATTTTTTCACGGTCTTTGCTTTTTAGTAAAGCTAATGCTTACGACTCTATCAAACTTCACTTTTCCTCAGACCGAATCTTCTTCTTCCTTCTCTATATCCGACGACCTTCTCATCATCGATTTCAACGCAAACATTTGTCTGATTTCTCAATCGGATTTAGGTGAGAAGTCTTTAGCTTTGTTCTTTTGAAGTTCGTTGACGAAATTTCCGACATTGTTCAGATTATTACAGTGTTTTGTGTTCTGATTTTGGATTTCAAGTTTCTAAATTTGACTCTCAATTTTCCATCTTCTTTGAAATTTGTTACTAAATTGGTATATGGGTAGTTGAAGGTTAGCTCTTTTGTTTGGTAATCTAGGGTTTTGACTTCCGCCAATTCTTTATCTGTATAGCGATAACTTACTTAAATGTGTGTTGAATCCATTGTTATCTCCAACATTGGCATAAGTTTCTTTGTTTGATGTCGAATTTGTTTTTGTTGTTTCAGATTTTGTGAAGATTCAAGAACAGATCTGTGAGTCCATTGGAGTATATTACTATTCATAGTGGTTAGACATCTACTGGCATTTTTCTGTCTTTTATTTTGTCTACCTTCAGGTCTAAGCATTTTTGCTTTTGTTTATACACAGACTCGATGACAAGGGTTACACGCGATTTCCGGGATTCATTGCAGAGAGATGGTGTTCCTGCAGTATCAGCAGATGTGAAATTTGCTTCAAGTAGATTTCCTAATTATAGAATTGGAGCTAATGATCAGATATTTGATGTTAAAGATGACCCTAAAGTGATGTCGATGAAAGAGGTTGTTGCGCGTGAGACAGCGCAGCTTATGGACCAGCAAAAACGTTTGTCTGTTCGTGACCTCGCTAATAAATTTGAGAAGGGATTGGCTGCAGCTGCTAAGCTATCTGAGGAGGTCTGACATTATCCTAATCCTATGTTTGATATCTTCTTTTACTATTATCTTTTAACTATGGAGATTAGAGGCTTCTCAATTTCTCTGAATTTAAGATAGACTTGCATTCTTTTGTTAGGTTTTGAAATTATCACAACAAAAGTTCTCTCTTTTTGGTTGAGGTCTTATAGATGAAATGTGTCTCTTGCCTTGTTACTACTATCTTTGCTTACTTTGTAATGAGTTGATTTGCACATTTATGTTTGATTTTTTGTTGATGGAGTCTCCTAAATAGGATCTAAAAAGGTGGCATTTAATCCTGTGATAACTGTACTTTTTATTAGCAAAGAAACTGTTTTGTTATAAATACAGAAATAATCAAGAAGGCCAATCTAGGTTGCTAAAGTGAAAATTTGATGATTGAAAGAAAATTTTAAAGCTAACTTCGTTGGGGAATGAGTGCAGGCAAAACTTAAAGAAGCAACTTCCTTGGAGAAACATGTTCTTTTAAAGAAACTTCGAGATGCATTGGAGTCTCTAAGAGGACGTGTGGCCGGTAGAAACAAGGATGATGTAGAGGAAGCCATTGCCATGGTTAGTCTTTTATAGTCATTCCCTTGTATAAAAGAATCGCTCTTCTGCAATCTCAGCTATCATATATAGTTCCGGTACTTTATGTGGTGATATTTATAGCCGGTAGCCTTTCTAAAAACCAAAATGTGTTCTTTTCCCTTGCTCATTTTTGCGTTCTTAAATTGTCTTGCAATACCACCACCAACAATTTTTCCGCGTTCCTTCTGAAATATGTTTGGAATTTGTAAATTCTGCTAGGTTGAAGCTCTGGCTGTTCAGTTGACTCAGCGAGAAGGAGAGCTGTTCATAGAAAAAGCGGAAGTGAAGAAGCTAGCGTCTTTTTTAAAGCAGGTAAAATGTGCTCTTTGAGACGGTGACATATTCACCTTTCTCATATCGCTTGAGTTGAATAGTTAGGAGATGTCTGTGTCATTTGCACTTGAAACAACCAAGTCCTTAAAAATAGCAAGTATGTTTTCATCCATGGCTTAATACCATGCAGTTTATATTCTATAACTTTTGATAAAGAACTATGATGTAGTTCTGGACAGACATAAGCTTTTTCCAATTCTTGATAGAGAACTATCATTCTTCTGTTTTCGGTTGTAAATTAGTGATTACTGGTTGGACTGGCTTAATCAATATGCAAATGTGTTCTAATTTTATTGCTGATTAGTGGGTGGCATTCTTTAACTAGGCCTCAGAGGATGCTAAGAAACTTGTCGACGAGGAGAGAGCTTTTGCACGTGCTGAGATTGAAAGTGCCAGAGCAGCTGTACAAAGAGTGGAAGAAGCCCTGCGAGAACATGAACAGATGTCTCGGGCCTCTGGGAAACAGGTAAAAATATCGTATGCTTATAATGTTGATTCATGTACCTTTGAAGATAATTCCAGCTTATTCTGATTTATGTTTTGCACATGTATACCAGCTTGTTTTAAAATTTTCTTGTCAAGTATATAGAGCCCATGTGAACATAGTATTGTTTACTTTATCATATCAGGACATGGAAGACTTAATGAAGGAAGTTCAAGAAGCTAGGCGGATTAAAATGCTGCATCAGCCAAGCAGGGTAGGTAGATGAATGATGGTTTATCTCTGGGGTTTAAATGGCTTGATTTGTCTGTCTAAGTCGATTCTTCTTTAATATCTTATGTTGTTTATAAAAGGTCAAATCATGTTCATTGTTTTAGGTCATGGACATGGAATATGAGCTTCGAGCACTGAGGAATCAGCTTGCAGAGAAATCTAAACATTTTCTTCAGCTACAAAAGAAGGTTTATTTGGATATATATTCCATACACAGATATACATTATATTAGTGCATTCCAGGCCCTTTTGATTATAATAACTCCCACATGAGTGCATTTGTGACTGTTATGCCGTTGTCAAGGAGATGGATTCTGATACTGAATCACACTTTTCTTTAATTCAGCTCGCAATGTGCAGAAAGAGCGAGGAAAATATATCCCTTATATATGAAATAGATGGCACTGAAGCTCTAGGTTCTTGTTTGCGAGTTAGACCTTGCTCCAATGATGCTCCTGATCTTTCCAAGTGTACAATGCAATGGTACCGTTCATCTTCAGATGGCAGCAAGAAGGAGCTTATATCAGGTCCACTCTCCTTTCCCATTTTTTCTTTCTCTGATTGAATTCTGTAACTATTTTATCCATATAAGACATGGTTTCATAAATGGTGAGCTTTTTCTAATTGAATTCAAGTTTTAAAAGGTTCCGTTATGAGAGCTCGTCGATTACAAATTAAGTTGTTTCTTACATCTAATGATTTTGCAATCAGGAACAATATATCTCTAGTGGCTCATATAATTAGAGCCAAATCAAGTTGGAGATTGTTCTCCTCATTGAGGAAAAAAGTTTTCTAACTATATTCCTATCTCAGGTGCCACAAAATCAGTTTACGCTCCCGAGCCATTTGATGTTGGACGAGTCTTACACGCAGATATCACTTACGATGGCCGTTTGCTTTCATTATCCACTGTTGGAAAGATTGATCCAGGTTCATTGTTATGTTATTTCCTGGAAAGGGTTCTTGTTTATGTCAACATCATCATTGTGTAGGTTGTGTTAAAAAGTCTGATTTGGTGCAGCTGCTGGATTGGGTAGCTACGTGGAGGCATTAGTACGGAAACACGATGTTGATTTCAATGTAAGGTTTCTCTGACACTAATTATATATGCATACTATACGTAGGGATGGCTCGGAATTAGTATTTTTATATCTGGAACAGGCTTGTGTATATTATAGTTCCCCTTATTGTGATTGATAGGTAGTTGTGACCCAAATGAGTGGAGAAGACCATACATCAGAATCTATCCACCTGTTTCACGTTGGTAAAATGAGGATAAAACTTTGCAAGGGAAAGACAGTCATTGCAAAAGAGTACTACTCTAGTGCGATGCAGGTAAGCGACTCTTTTTTCCTCGAGAAAGCTTCATCTTTTTAGTGTTACGCGGAGAGACCTTTAAATCATAATCTTTGATGATCATATTGAGTAGCTATGTGGAGTGAGAGGAGGTGGAAATGCTGCAGCTCAGGCATTGTATTGGCAGGCAAAGAAAGGAGTATCCTTTGTGATAGCTTTCGAGTCTGAGAGAGAAAGAAACGCTGCGATCATGCTTGCACGAAGATTCGCTTGTGATTGTAATGTAAGTATAACAAAGATGGAGTTAGAAACTATGTTTTTTGTAGAAAGAGGTGTTGATGTAAGTATGAAACTGATGTGTTGCAGGTGACGCTTGCTGGTCCAGACGACAGAACAGAGACGGGTCAAAGCCCTTGAAGAATGGCTCTTAACTAAGTTGTGATTTTTAGTATCCGTAAGAGCTTTTTTTTTGTTTTGTAGTTTATATAATAGGTTTTAGGCATTTGTTTGAATTGTACTTCTGTTTGTGTGTAAAAATATGGAATCAGTAAGAGGTGATGGTGAATCTATATGTAACGGGTGGCTTGTGTTTATTCATTTGTTTTGATCTTACTTGCCCTGGCTTGAGGAGTATAACGGATGGCTTCTTGTGGATTGATGCAAGTGATACATCAATAAAGCAAACTCTCTAGAAGCTAAAATCCTGCAAAAACCCGAAAAAATGGCGAAGATCGGTACCAATAAGAAATTTTCTGGTTTCGAGATTCGTTCATAAACAAAGCTCGATTTTTGGTTTTGATATTCTTATCCAAAGCTTCCATTTCCATTTGTGACCTAGGAGAAAATCTGCTTCTCATGTTAATAAATGGAAATCTTTTTTGTTGATCTTGACGAACTTAAATTTGATTACACTTAGAAATCTGCTTCTCAATATTATACGTTTAAACAATGTTTGGAACGGTCTTAACACTAAAATATGTGACAAAAAGGATTAGTTAACACTATAAGAAGAATCCAATAGAAATTGAAGATAAAAGAAAAAAACACAAAAAGACTTGTCCATGATCATCATTCTCTCTGACGGATCTCATGGAGATTCCAATGTTAAAACCAAACCAGATAAAAAGGAAGAACACAAAGAGAAGTCATCACAGCTACATGATCAACAAAAGTAGACTAGGGTTTTGTAACTTCATGAACAAGAAACAGATAAGTCGTCAAGCGTCAAGCGAAGGAAGAAGAGCAACTTCAGCGTTTTCTGAGATTAAGAGTATTTCTTGAACACTGCTATTAGGTTACTCTCTGAAGCCAAGTCCCTTAACGTCATCAGCATAGCGACTAGTCCCAACAGCTGAAGCTATCTTCTATGAACCATTGTCAAAGATAGAAACCGATCAACGAGGTTAATGGTGAGTTAAAGTGTCTCTGGCATTAACTCAAACTTCCTGTGAACATCTACAAGCAAATCGATCAGAATCGATCTCATCTTCTCATTTATCTGAGGTTGTGATCCAATATAGTCTTTGATTCCTCCTTCCTCTTCTACAGTCCTATAGTACTTGAAGATTTCATCTACTTATTCCACAGCAGCAAGTTCATTGTTAGCATCCGAAACATCAATGTCGATCACACCTTCTTTCGGTCCGCTTGCAGCCTGTTAGAAAATAAAATAGAGAAGTTAGATCATCAAACATGGTTAATCTCATCAAAACATTTGAAATTTAGTTACCTTGCTTCCAACTATTAGCGTTGCGGTAAAAGTTTTGGTTCCACGAATTCTTCTGCTGAAATGTGCGTGGTTGCAGCTTTTCTCATTTTCGTCAGGGCAAATGGTAATAACCTCGGGTTTTGACTGCGGTCTCGCCTTCTTCGCAACATCCTGAGTAGATAAATATTGTTGAATCTAGAATTCACACAATAAATTTGTTTAAAGAGGAATACAAATTCGATTAACTCTCTTTATTAAGAACTCGATCGATCAAAGACTCGATTACAAAGAGATTTGAGATTGCTTTGAGAACAAGTTAGGTTTTGCTCACAAACAATGAAGAAGCTAGGGTTTATGTGTGCAAAATTGCGGATCCCCCGCATAGAGGATAAACCCCTCTATTTATACTACGATTTCGCCTTCTTCGCAACATCCTGAGTAGATAAATATTGTTAAATCTAGAATTCACACAAGAAATTTGTTTAAAAAGGAAAACAAATTCGATTTACTCTCTTTATTAAGAACTCGATCAAAGACTCGATTACAAAGAGATGTGAGATTGCTTTGAGAACAAGTTAGGTTTTGCTCACGAACAATGAAGAAGCTAGGGTTTATGTGTGCAAAATTACGGATGCCCCGCATAGAGGATAAACCCCTCTTTTTATACTCCGAAGATCTCTTTGAGATAAAGCTAAATTTTCTTAAATCTAGGGCTTGAATCTTCAAGTCTTCCTTATCTTCAGATCTTGACATTTTGTTAAAGAGAATTTTCCCGGTTTCCTCTTTTTGAAGGTCGGTAACAACCTTTCCTTTGATTTGAGGGAGGTCGTGTAGCGACCCTGAACCGTGCTAGAAATAGCCCGGCTAGAATCGTACAGGTGACAAGTACCTTGCACGAGCGGTTCAAGGTTTAAGCACCAAACTCTCCCCCTGACCTGCCCCCGCTTAGTACCGTCCCTCAAAATCCCGATATCCGGCTTGCCAACCTTTTACCGGGAAAGGAAGTAATGCGGTTCGGACAGAACCTTATATCATCAAACCATCCCCATTTTGAGAAAACCTTTTTATACATAGTAAAATATGATACAAATCGCACAAACAATCATATAAGGTTTCCGGGGATCCCATTTCACAATAGTAGCCTTTACATTTCTACCCAACAATCTACACCAAGATCCTACTGTCCCATCGACCCTCTACGGCTTTTTCTCCTAAGGTTTCCTGCAACAAAAATGGTGGAATCATGAATACAAGTACTCAATGAGTTCGGCGCCTAATCTCGGAAGCTAAACAACCCAACCCCAAAACAATAAACGTTAGTCAAGCAACAAGCAATCAATAGCATGCGATAATCAACAAGTAAATAAAATGCAACGGTTATGCAGTAGGATGAATGCACGGGTAAATGATAACAACAAAATCCTATGGCCATGTGAACGATCCTTCCCATCGAAACAAGTGAACAATCCGCTAGTAGCCACTAACTCTACAAGCGATGTACCACATGGGCCTGCCACGACGGGTATCCCGGTTGCATCGTCATGCAACACTCGGCCCTTTGGGAGCGACCCAGTCTCTCCGAGACCAATAAAAACAGGAAAGCGCACTCGAACACCACAAACTATATATGCATGCAACTAAGCTACGACGAAGCGTACTTAAAGCATCAAGCATACATGACATGAATGATAATCCTTATCAATTCTACGATCAATCAACAACAACATCAACAAGCATACAACCAACAAGCAAGCATACAAGGTAAATCATGTGCCACCACACATGCTTCAGAACTCACTGTGATTAAGCGGATCGGATGATTTTGATGTCTTAGCGGAATAACAACTATGATCGGGAACTTCTGGTTTGATACTTCGTCCAGAACTCTGTCGTCCACCTCTACCGTTAGCTTCAGGAGCGGCCGTCACTTCACCGGAGATTTCAGAGAGCTCTCTCTCACAATTTCTCTCTAGCTTTTGGTAAAATGACTTAAGCCCCAAAGCCTTGGTTCTATTTATAGAGGATGAGACTTGACGCATGACAGACACATGTCGCGTCTTGGGTGACTCAAACCCACAAAGGCACTCTTCCACCTATTATTCTTGGAGTTTGCGTTTCCCAACCCTTTGGGAACACGCTTCCTTGTGATTGGGTCGAAGTTCGTGTCGCCCAGCTCATGGCAACACTAATTCTCCACGATTGGTTCGATGTTCGTGCTTCCCAAGCTCATCATTACCTCGTTTTGTCCAAAAGATGTAACTTGCCCCTTTGGTTATACTCTTCCTCAACGATTGGTTTAGAACTGCAATCATTGCCTCGATTTCGCCCAAAGAAGGTAACTTATACCAAAGGCAATATCTTTCTTTTGATTAGACCAGAGATATAATCATTGCCTTGGTCTCGTCAAAAGGGTGGAGTTTCTCTCTCCGACAAATGATTACTTTTCTGACGCTTTTGCCTCGATTCTCGGAATTATGCCTTCAAATCTTTCTCTAGATTCGACCATCCCAAGAATCATCTATGCCACATTCTAAGTCGTCCTTAACCATGGTGCGCCCACACGGTATGGTCAAGGCGTAGTCCGGTTCCACGATGTTTTGACATGACCCAAACTAACTTAGCCAAGTAAAAGGATTTTACTTAGCATTTTCGATTATAAGTCTTTTTCCCGAGTCTTTATAACCTCCTTTAAATCCTCTATTTGTCGCACACGGTGAATCGTTCACCGGACGATCCCAAAACGAGTTTCTTTCTATCAAAACTCATCTCTTCGAGAGATATTAACTATTTCTCGTTAAAAGGTCCTAACTTATGTCCAAGTTCTTTGAACACAAGAGACTTTCACTTTTGCTCGACTCCGACACTTGGTTCAGGACGCGATCCGTCTGGACAAATTTTATGCCCGAGACCGGGTCACTACATTCACCCCCTCTCATTGGAATTCGTCCCGAATTCCCAACGAGATAAATCGTCGGTGTTCTTCACTTGGTTAGAACTTTTTTTGAAATTCTTTATCGTCGAGTTTCTCGGTTGTTTTAGTACTTAAGCTTTCCGGCTTAAACATCCTGGAGATCTACGAAACTTCGGTATTAGATTCTCAATCCATTCCGATTCCTCACAAATTTCCCATTCATGTGAGTGTATAACTTCCACTTGAAACCCAAATGAAGTTCACAACACTCTCGGCCTTTATCTCGTGGATTAGAATATTTACTCAAGACTTCCTTTCGTCTTAAATAAAACCCAACAATCTAGGCCCTTCCCTTATGTAGTGATCTTAGAACTTATGATCAACTACACGGAAACAATTCTCCCTTTGGAGATTCAGCACTCCAATCTTGAAGATCTTCTCCTTCTCGATTGAACTTAGCGTGAGCATGACAAGGCAAGTCTGCGATCCTTCCTCTTGATCCGGTTCCTTTCATTCCTCCACGCCATCTTACACTTGTTCGTCCAATTCACAAGAGTTTCGTTACTTGAGACTTAAACAACATAACTACTTAGTTATCTCACATAGATAGACTAAATTCAAACACTTCAAAAATTTCCGTATTTTTTAAAGTTCCCCTTAGAATAACCATCCTTGTTCCCAAGATGATCAAACAACTCATCACAAAAATCTCTTGATGTACTTCCTTGTATACTCAAGCATCACAATATTTTTCCGCATCACATCATCACAATTCAGTTTCTTATCACAAAACACAAGGTATCCAATGACAAGACTTTGTTTTCCTCATAAACATATCTTTCATTCATACCGTTCTTACAAAAGGCGGGTTTACACATTTCCTCTCTTACAAAATTCGGGTTTACACATACCGTTTCATTACAACCGTGGATTATGACCGCTAAACACTTAGTCATACGCTCCGCCAAAGCGGTTACAAGCCGAAAAAGAGAAACATCTAAATGCAAATGATACTAACATGCAACACGAAATCATACAATGGGTTAGAGCCCATACTTACCTCGCCTGGACTTAACTGTTGAAGGTTTAGGGAAAATCCTAGTAAGTACTAAGGTTTCCCTTCAACTTCCTCGTAGACGCACTTGGACTTGGGCTTGACGGACCGGGATTCTCGGGGTACTTCCTGGGACAAACGCTCGCATAGTGACCCTTATCACCACACTCAAAACAGACAATGTACGGGCGAGCATAGGGATGATAGTGACGAACATAAGGACAAGTTCTCGGATAATGGCCATCTTGGCCGCAAGTGAAACAGAAAGGAGTCACCCTCAAGGGTTCAGACATAAGTCCATCTTCGCATTCCATGGTTGGCACGAAGGTTCCATTGGCGGATCTAAACACTCTTTCCCTCCACACAGGCGTTCCTTCGGGAGGTCGGAGCGGTTCAACACCAAGGGTTCCAACAGCTATCATATTCTGGATCATAGCATCCAAGGAACTCGAACCAAGAGTTGGCTCGTGAAGCGTTTCGTTCGTAGGAAACAACACTCCAAGTTTTTCAACACGTGGAAGAGTAGCTAACAAAGTCTCGCAATTAGTCGTTACGTCTGGCACTTCTTGATCGCCAACAAGGTTCTCAAGATTCGTATGGGACGACTCAACACCTTCTTCACCATGATAACCAGGATACCAAGTTCGGGTCGCAAACCTTCTTGGCGGGGTAGACATCCTAAGCGATTCAGCCTTCACGAATTTAGGAATTGGCAACTCCATTCCCGATTCTTCAGCATCAGCTAACTCATCATCTGAAGATAGCTCAACAAAATACGGAGACGGCGGACCAGGCGGTGTAGCGAACACTTCACTCGGTATCACCATGTTGTAAGCCAAAGCTTGCCTTGGAATCCCATATTCCGTAGGCAAAAACACCATGCAGTCGGAACTTCGCGAATTAGTTTCCTCTGATGATACGTCGGAGAAAGCGAAATATGGCTCAAGAGACAACAAGCCGAACGATTCACGGGTGAGAATTCGCATAAACTGCCGGCTGTCCCGAATCGTCTGAAGTCAACTCGTACAAGACCCCATCTAGACCTTCCCACATAGGTGCGTCCACATATCCGTAGAGATATCCAGTCGCCATCTGCTCCTCAGACTCTTCAAACTCGTCCAAAAAATCCGAGACCGGAACACTTCCAGGGTTTCCTCCCAAATCCACTAGAGGCACAACTTTGTCAGACTCCACACTCGTCTCGACGATATCCTCAAACTCCTCAGGATCTTCCGATGGATCCGACTCGAATGAACTATCTGAAGCTACCATCTCCGTCATAGAAATGGATTCAACCGAAGTCACCGAAGGGTTCGGAGCCATGAAGGACTCCGATTCCGATCCGTCCAACATCCGTCCAACATCCGTCTCACATGTTCCGACGGAATCACAGAATCGTCAGACGCAGACCTATCACCACTATTCCCGTACATGTTGCTTGGTCCAGCGTTTGACGGAAAACCCCACAGTCGTCCGCCCGAAAGTCTAGTGTGTCGCGAAAGCATCTGCATCACCAAAGCAAGGTTAGTCCTAAAGATTCCCATCTACCTAGACCCCACGTCGAGACAACTTGGTTTATCCTAAGGTAGAAATGCGACTCAATTTTGACTCGATAAAACGTTTGAAAAGCGGGATGGTTCCCGAGCATCTGTAACCATCCTCTGATACAACCTAAAACTGTAGCGACCCTGAACCGTGCTAGAAATAGCCCGGCTAGAATCTTACAGGTGACAAGTACCTTGCACGAGCGGATCAAGGTTTAAGCACCAAACTCTCCCCCTGACCTGCCCCCGCTTAGTACCGTCCCTCCCAATTCCGATATCCGGCTTGCCAACCTTTTACCGAGAAAGGAAGTTATACGGTTCGGACAGAACCTTATATCATCAAACCATCCCCATTTTGAGAAAACCTTTTTATACATAGTATAATATGATACAAATCGCACAAACAATCATATAAGGTTTCCGGGGATCCCATTTCACAATACATAATACAAAATAATAGCCTTTACATTTCTACCCAACAATCTACACCAAGATCCTATTGTCCCAACGACCCTCTAAGGCTTTTCCCCATAAGGTTTCCTGCAACAAAAATGGCGGATTCATGAATACAAGTATTCAATGAGTTCGGCGGCTAATCTCGGAAGCTAAACAACCCAACCCCTAAAACAATAAACGTTAGCTAAGCAACAAGTAACAAGCAATCAATTGCATGCGATAATCAACAAGTAAATAAAATGCACAGGTAAATGATAACAACAAAAGCCTATGGCCATGTGAATGATCCTTCCCATCGAAACAAGTGAACAATCTGCTAGTAGCCACTAAGTCTACAAGCGATGTACCACATGGGCCTGCCACGACGTGTATCCCCGTTGCATCGTCATGCAACACTCGGCCCTTTGGGAGCGACCCAGTCTCTCCGAATCTAATAAAAACAGGGAAGCGCACTCGAACACCACAAACTCTATATGCATGCAACTAAGCTACGACGAAGCGTACTTAAAGCATCAAGCATACATGACATGAATGATAATCCTGATCAATTCTATGATCAATGAACAACAACATCAACAAGCACACAACCAACAAGCAAGCATACAAGGTTAATCATGTGCCACCACACATGCTTCGGAACTCACTGTGATTAAGCGGATCGGATGATTGTGATGTCTTAGCGGAATAACAACTCTGATCGGGAACTTCTGCTTTGATTCTTCGTCCAGAACTCCGTCGTCCACCTCTACCGTTAGCTTCAGGAGCGGCCGTCACTTCACCGAAGATTTCAGAGAGCTCTCTCTCACGATTTCTCTCTAGCTTTTGGTAAAATGACTTAAGCCCCAAAGCATTGGTTCTATTAATAAAGGATGAGACTTGACGTATGACGAACACATGTCGCGTCTTGGGTGACTCAAACACACAAAGGCACTCTTCCACCGATTGGCTTAGAGTTTACGTTGCCCAACCCTTTGGGAACATGCTTCCTTGTGATTGGGTCGAGGTTCGTGTCGCCCAGCTCATGGCAACACTCCTTCTCCACGATTGGTTCGATGTTCGTGCTTCCCAAGCTCATCATTACCTCGTGGTTCAGAACTGCAATCATTGCCTCGATTTCGCCCAAAGAAGGTAACTTATACCAAAGGCAATATCTTTCTCTTGATTAGACCAGAGATATAATCATTGCCTTGGTTTCGTCAAAAGGGTGGAGTTTCTCTCTCCGACAAATGATTACTTTTCTAACGCTTTTGCCTCAATTCTCGGAATTTATGCCTTCAAATCTTTCTCTAGATTTGACCATCCCAAGAATCATCTATGCCACATGCTAAGTCGTCCTTAGCCATGGTGCGCCCACACGGCATGGTCAAGGCGTAGTCCGGTTCCACGATGTCCGTACATGACCCAAACTAACTTAGCCAAGTAAAATGATTTTACTTAGCATTTTTGATTATAAGTCTTTTTCCCGAGTCCTTATAACCTCCTTTAAATCCTCCATTTATCGTACACGGTGAATCGTGCACCGGACGATCCCAAAACGAGTTTCTTTCTATCAAAACTCATCTCTTCGAGAGATATTAACTATTTCTCGTTAAAAGGTCCTAACTTACGTCCAAGTTCTTTGAACACAAGAGACTTTTTCACCTTTGCTCGACTCCGACACTTGGTTCAGGACGCGATCCGTCCGGACAAATTTTATGCCCGAGACCGGGTCACTACAGGTCGGCTGGCGACCTTCATGGGCTTCGAGCCCAATGGCCCATTAACAGGTAAACCGGGTTTTCCCGATTTAATTGAATTCCTTAATTGATTCGAATCCTCCTTGGTTTAGGCTAATTCCCGCACCAACAATTAGTCCCCTAGTTTGGAGAATTTGAACTTTAATTCGAGTTTTCCGAACTATAAGAGAGAATATTCGGCTTATATTTAGGAAGATGCGAATCTGAATTGAAATCTTTAAACTTAATGAACACGCTTATCCGTTCGGACACGTGTCAGAAATCGGGTATTGAATGATGACATGTAGGTCGGAAGTTGAAAGGTCGCCTAGGTATAATGATGACCTTTTGTAGGTCAGCCACCCACTTTTTCTCAATAAATACTCGGTTTTTCTCTTCATTTTCCACTTTCAGCCGCATAAAAGAAATGTAGTTTTTGCTCTCTTCTCTCTCTTTTCAGTGTTTTTAATCTTCGCCGCTTTCATTCGAGTTTTTCGAACAATCTTCAATGAAATCTGGAGGATGACTCTGATTCTAGTCGGAACAACGTAGATGGAGAAGGAAATCCACTCAATCCAGCCGATCTCCCTATTGAAGAAGACGATCTTGATCGGTTCGAGGCGTTGATTGAGTACTCAGTGGATGAGTTTGAAGCCGTCGAGGATGAAATGGAGAAGAATTCCATCCCTCGAGGTGTTTTTATCAAAGACATTACTCCTCTTTTTTATCACAAAGAGAGGGTCGGAGGAGACCTGACTGTTCCCGACTCGCTTCCGAATTCTGAACCAAATGAATTAGTCGCTTCTACAAACATTCAGAAAAATCCAGAAAGGGTGAACGATGAAAAAGTTGAGGTCGAGCAAGTACAGGCAGATCATGTCGGAACAGAGCAAGTCGATGTGGTCGAAAGATCGAAGAAGAAGACGACCTTCTGAGGAAGCTGGCCTTCACGCTGGAGTTCCCAACAAAAGTCTTTTTGCTTAACTCGCGATGAGTCCAACCATTTTGAGATGTTTGGCTATGAGTATATCGGGGAGGGATCCCTTGTAAATGACCTGGAGGCGTTTGGTGAGCTATGTAGGAATCTAAAGATTTCCTCTAAGATTTCCCGTATCCCACTGAATTGGAGTTTGAAGAGGACTACCTGAAGTTCGTGCAGTCCTCCATGCATGTAGGAGTTCGTCCTCGTTTCCTTCCTCCTTTTTAGAATTGGATCGTGGTTTACACTCTTCTCTTCTTGTTATAAACCACTGCTTATGCCAACGCGCTCGTGTTGAAATACGATCGAAGGAAAAAATCTTGAGCTAAAGCCGATCACACATTGAAGATGATGGAGCAATGAGTCGAATATGCTAGGGTCGTAGTACGGGCAATGAAGAAGAAGATTAGAGATCAGGAGGAGGCTGATGAGGAATGGAAGGTCATTGTCGCTTCTCTGACTTAGACCGTTGCCGACCTATCGTCTCGCGAGTCAAGTTTTAAAGAGGAGGTGAAGAGACTGAGTGTGAAGCTTCGAAGGCCTAGGCTGAATCAGAATGAGCCAGACTTCATCGGGATAGGGCTGCGAGGGTTGAGCGCACCGCAACGAAAGCGCATGCTCGTCTGGACAAGGTGAAGACGTACCTTGAGGAACAAACGAAGGTTATTCGCCCAAATATGGACTTGCTCAACTAAGCTCAGGGAATGGAGGAGTCTCTTAAGGCGTTGATCAGAAAAGGCGCCATTATCTCGAAGGAAGAAATGTCAAACATTAAGAGGCTAAAGTGGATGCCCTCAACGTCATGGATCTGAGGGATGCAGATACAAGTATATCGCCGAATCAACCCGGTTTTAGTTTTTTTAGATAAGACACCTAGACTCCAGCTTCTGTCGGTAATCCTCATGGCTCCTACGCCCCCTTCTATCAAACTGATATTCGGACAACCCTTGGCGAGGATGAAAGGAACCATCCAGGGGCCTAAACCTGGACCCAAGCTACCTTCCCATTCTTTCATCTTATTGCTCTCTTTCTATATTATGTAATCTTGAACCTAATCCACCGGGCCTCGGGCCTGTTAATTTACACTGCGTCTTAATTTTTTTTTTTTTTTTTGCTTTTGGAAAGTTGGTTTATTTCTTTTTTAATTTAAAAAAGAAATTTTGGTTAATCTTTTTCCATTTGAAAAAGGAAAAATCCTTCGTATAAAAAAGAGAAATCGGACAAATCCTTTTCCTTTAAATATACCCGGGATCGTTTCTTAGAGATATATCTTTGCTCATTCGAGTTAAACCCTTTACTTTATTTTAACAATGGAGCGTTCTGGTTCTTGCCACTTTCGTTGCCTACCTACGCGTAGAACGATTGAGGCGAGTATGAATCTTTCGACGTTTACCAACACGAAAGCATCGAAGAGAGGGATGCCCTACTTTGACAACCTAAGGGTTCCTTGAACACTTTCGTTTCGAATTAGCTAAGAAGAACGTCTCCTAGCAGAGGAGTTTTTGTCTCTTGTTGAAGACAAACATAAATAATACCGGAAGCTGCTGGCTATGATCGATGAACATAGATCAAACTTGACTCACAAGATAAATTTTCTTGAATCGCATCCTAGGGATTGGATCAAGAATGGTTTTCATAGGATAGCGGAATTGCGACGGTTGTGAAAGGGATGCTAGCCTTGAATTCAATGAGAAGACCCTTTGGCTGTTCCTTGCGAGGATTTTACCTCGGGATCGGTGAAACCATTTTACTTGGGTTCGTCTGGTAACGAAACTTATTCCGTCGAAGCCCAGGAGTTTGTTAACATGGTATATTACTGAACCGCTTTTTCTTTCGTCCAAACAAAAAATTTTCTTCTTCTCATGACCGTCTTTTCCTTTTCAGGTCGGACTTAAAAATGCAAACTTTAATTTTTATTAAGAAATATAGTTGCATCCGGTGAAGGAATGCCTATGTGCTCTGTGTAGGCATCTAGCCATTCGTAGTTCAAATTACAATGGAGAGGTCAGAATACCGAGCTCGTGCCTCTTTTTCTTTTTCTTTTTTTTGGCTCGTATAACGTTTTCTTTTTTGGCTCGTAGAGCGACTTAGTAGTAATAACTTTTCACGTTAGAAGCATTCTAGGATTTTTTGACCTCCTTGCAATCCATTGTCATGAGTTCATATACTCCAAGGCGAACTGCTTTAGAGATCAAGTAAGGCCCTTCCTAATGTGCACCGAATTTTTCTGCTCGGGGTTCCTTGGTATTCTTGAAGACTTTGCGGAGAATGAGGACGCCTTCATTGAAGCGTTGTTCTATAACAGTTTTGTTATAGTGGCCAGCTGCCGCATTCTGGTAGTTTTGTATTTGTACGAAGGCCTGATCGCGGAGTTCTTCCCACATATCGATGTGATCGTACATCCTCTCGTCGTTGAGCTCGGGGTGATCTGTCATCATGCAACGCCGAATTGTTGGGACACTTACCTCAGTAGTGGCCATGGCTTCAATGCCATATGCAAAGGAGAATGGTGATTGGCCGGTAGCTTGTCTTGGCGTCGTCCAATGTGACCATAATACACTGTCGAGGTGGTTAGACCAACATCCCTTTTTCTTGCCAAACTGCTTTTTAATCCCATCAACGATGGTTTTATTGGTGGCTTCTGCTTGATCGTTTCCATGCGGGTACCGAGGTGTAGACGTACTAAGTCGGATTCCCCACTTAGCCAAAAATTGCTTAGTTATTCTTGTCGTGAACTGAGCTCCGTTATCAATCAAAAAGCAATCCCTGTCGACATATGATATTCTTCCAGATGAAAGCGGTGACCTGAGGCGACTCTATTTTATGGTATGTTTTTGCCTCATCACATTGGGTGAAATAATGGTTAAGACCAACATAAATATTTTCGTACCGGATGGAAGGAGGGGTCCAACAAAATTCATAGCCTATCGCATGAATGGGTATGTAGTTGTCACCGTTCGAGAGATATGTGAATCATGGGGCCATGGCGTTGACACGGTTCGCACTTTCCAACGAAGGCTTCATAATTGATGACCATAGTAGGTCAGTAATGTCCATCCTTTTTTATTTTGAGGGCCAAGGCACGACCTCCCGAATGGTTTCCCCATTCGCCTTTGTGCGTTTCTTACATGATCTGATTAGCCTCTGTGCGATCGACACATGCGAGAACACTGGTCGAACTTCTGCGATAAAGTGTATCTCTGTCGAAGACATAATTCGCACTTCTTTTAATAGTTGAGCTTCCCAACATCAGTTGGTACTTTGTCGTCTGCAATATATAGTTTAATTTCGTCTCTCCAATCAACTGGTTCTTGATCGACCTTAACATACACTTGGTTGTCGGATCATCTCCGATCTCCATCGCAACTGGTACATCATTGATGATGTAGGTCGGGTTGCTCAGATCGATGCTAGGCATTGCTATGTCTTCCACTAGGATGGTTACTCGAAGTTCCACATTGGTTGATGATACAGTGTCGACAGATGCACTATCGCTCGATGGGATCTTTATGAGCGTGAAACTTTTAAACTTCTCTGATATTTTCTTGATGAATTGCAGCTAGGCGTCCATCGTTCGTTTTTGGCTTTAAACTCACCGCTGAACTGGCTAACCACGAGTTGGGAATCAGAATAAGCTTTAATGTGATCAACTCTGATTCCTCTTGCCAGTCGCAACCTAGCTAGCAGTGCCTGGTACTCGGCCTCGTTTTTTGAGGCTTTGAAACCAAGTCGAAACGATTGCTCAAGGATTTCTCCCATTGGAGATTAGAGTAAGACTCTAAAGCCGGATCCGTGTGGAGATGCAGACCCGTCTACATCAAGTATCCAATTAATATTGTCTGGACTGTTATCAATGAGTTCAAGGGATAACTCGGCTATAAAGTCAACTAGAACTTGTGACTTTATGCTAGGTCTGGCACGATACTTGATATCGTATTCACTGAGCTCGATTACCCATTTAGCGATTCTTCCAAACTAGTTCGGACTATGGAGAATAGTTCGGAGTGGCTGGTCCGTATACACGATAACATAATATGATTAGAAGGTCAGAGCTTGTGAGCTACTGTTATGATTGAGAGAGCCACTTTTTCTAATGTAAGATACCGTGGTTCGGCGTTATTCAGAGCTTTTTTGTATAGAAGATTGGTGTTTGATTTCCACAATTGTCTCTGATTAGGACCCCACTTACCGTCTAGCTTGACACCGAAACATATATGTATTGTGTTTCTCCATCTTCAGGCTTCATCAAGACAAGTTGACTGGTCAGGTAGACTTTGAAAGGCGACCTCAGAGTGATCGTCCCAATGAAAATCCTTATTTCATCAGAGAAGTTTTATAGAAAGACAAGCACTTATCAATGGGTCGGGCAATGATTAAAAGCCGCGATCCGACCTGTAGGACGGTATACTTCCCTTTAGTTCTTCGGAGACGGTAGTTCAAGTATTGCCTTGAGTTACTTTGGATTGGCCTCGATGCCTCTTTCAGTTACTATATATCCAAGAAATTCATATGAAGTGACCACGAATGTACATTTGGTCGGATTCAATTATATTCGAAATTTATCCAAGATGTCGAAACATGCATTGAGATGCTCGATATGCTCGCTTTCTACCAAGGATTTGACCAGCATATCGTTGATATAGACTTCCATGGTGTGGCCGAGAAAGTCGGAGAACATCTTATTTACCAGCCTTTTGGTTGGTTTCCCATGCATTCTTCAATCCAAATGGCATGATCTTGTAGCAATAGGTTCCGCGATCAGTGATGAAGGCAGTCTTCTCACGGTCATCTAGATGCATCATGATTTGATTATACCTAGAAAAACCATCCATAATAGTTGCTTTCCAGATGTTGCTTCCGCCAGCCGATCTATATGAGGTAGAAGGAAACTATCCTCCGGACAGGCTTTGTTGAGATCGGTGAAGTCGACGCAAACTCGCCATTTACCATGTTTTTTTTCTTTACGACGACTGGATTTGCCAGCCAGTTCGGATACTAGACTTTGGTGATCAGATCGGCCTTAAGGTGTTGATCGACTTTGTACTGAACCGCCTTGGCTCGATCTGGCCCCAATCTTCTCCTATTTTTCCGCACCGGTTTAAAGGTCAGATCGATGTTGAGCTTGTGACACGTCGCATCTGGATATATCCCTGTCATATCTTTCGTCGACCATGCAAAAGTGGAGGGTCTTGTTTTTAGGTATGTAACTAGCCGTTCCTTCAGATCTTCATCCCGTTCGGCTCTAATCCCAACATTCTGGGAAGGGTCCAAGTCATGGATGTTGATCTAGACTATCTGACAGCTTAGAGATTTCATCAAATCTCGTCCATGCTGATGGAGAACTGACAAGTGTTCTCCGTTCTATATTTGCTATAAGTTTTTGACCTTGCTTTGCTTCTTCTCGATGACATAAAATATTTTTGAAACCTTTTGGTCTTCGTGTAGAGTGAAAATATCAGTGGTTATAGGGAACTTGAGGCAAAGGTAATAAGTGGATGGGATTGCCCGCATCGCGTATATCCAAGGAGATCTTAGAATTGCGTTTTAGATCAGGGGCGAATCAATTACGTCGAATTTTGTTTTCTTTGTGATCCCTCCAGCTCGGACTTGTAGTTTGATTTCACAAATTGACATCTTAGCTCACCGTCGTAGCCAGTCAGAGGTCGGACTTTTAGGCTTGATCTGTCTTTCTAATATTCCTTTTTCTAAAGTTTCGACGAACATCAGGTTCACCGAACTCCGAGGTCGATCAAAACATTTTCGACATCAAATTCGCCGATGGTTATTTCGAAGACTAAAGCATCGTCGTGCAGATGCTGGATTCCGTATGAGTTTAGCGACGTGAAAGTGGTGATTCTCATCTTTTGGTTGCGATTGTACGCTGCAGATTTGTCACGCCTTCTTTTTGAGAGTCGAGTTCTCACATGGACATGGTGATTCTGCCTCTGAGGGTTGCCTCTGGACCTTTTGAGATCTTAACATTTTATTAAAGGGAATTTGTCGGGTTCTTCTTTTGGAAGGTCGGTAACGATCTTTCCATTGATTTGAGAGAGGTCGGAGGTCGGCTGGCGACCTCCAGGGGCTTCGAGCCCAATGGCCCACTAACAGGTAAACCGGGAAAACTCGGTTTAATTGAATTGCTCAATTAATTCAAATTTTCTTCTTTGGTTTAGGCCGGTATTTTGGTATGTGCTAATTCCCGCACAAGCAAATAGTTTTATGAGTTCCAAATTTAGATGAAAACAAAACATTATCAAAGAAAGAGATCAGAGATCTATACCAGAGTCCCTTCCTGAAAGCCGTAAATGTTGCGTTATCGGTTATTGTAACTTTGGACAGTATGTCCTTGAAGTGGTATAAGTATTGAAGCAGGGGTTCCCCACCCTCTTGTGTTATACTCCAGAGGTCGGGTCTTGAGGCTCCAGGTAGGATGAAGATCCGATAGTATTTGAGGAAAGCCGTAGACAGATGAGTGAAGTTGTCGATTGAGTTCGCTTCGAGTTTAGAGAAGCAAGTCAGGACGTTTCCTGACAAACTTTCTACGAAAAGTTGACAGCACCTTTCTACGAGAAGTGAGCTTTACCAACCGTATTCATGAAGAATGTCATGAATTGCATAGAAACCTTGTTGCCCTTATATATCGAAAGTTTGAACTTGGTGTGAGGGATCTGCATTGATCTGACTAGTGAACGGTGTTCTCTACGTTTCCTTGAACATTTAGCCAATCTCGGGAGCTGAACTAACGACATGATGTATCTGAGAACACACATATCAGAGTTTCGAGTAAATATCCTCGATATCGGTATGTCGATCGCCAACTGACCTGCCCATAATGCAGTTGACGGGTGTTTGAAATTGTAAGGATAGTCTACTTTCGGTAGGTCAGACCCCAGTTGTGGCTTGCACAAGGAAGATCATGTTAACGTGATAGGACTGGGCGTCCGTGAAGTCCAAGTTCCGGGCGAACTCCGGCAGTCTTGCTGACCTCTAGGATGTTACCTCACTGCTAGGCGTCTGTTGAGTGTTTCGGGCGAGCTTATCAATTCTTCGGTAGGTATCCGTGATCATCTGAACTAGATCCTCGGTTATACTACAGAATACCACTTTGAGATCGTCGAGAGGGGATCCATGTGGCTGATGTTGTTGCATCTGTTCTTGTATTAGCGGCAAGTTGCTCTGCCTTGGTCATATTTCCGACAAATCCATCCTGAGGAAGTTGTTGTTCACCGCCGGTTAGATTGTCGGGTGGTTAGATAGCATGTGGGATGAATCCATTCAGATTTATTGGTAGTTGCGCGCCTGGCAGGGTTGATTCCGTTTGGGTTCACTAGTGGTTGCATCCTTGGCGGGGTGATTCCGTTTGGACTAACCATTTGCCCGGTTCTTCTCTTGGAAGATCGGTAACGATCTTTCCATTGATTTGAGGGAGGTCGGATGGCGACCTCCATGGGCTTCGAGCCCAATGGCCCACTAACAGGTAAAACCGAAAAAAATCGGTTTAATTAAATTGTTCAATTAATTCGAATTTTCTTTTTTGGTTTAGGCCGGTATTGTGTTGGGTGCTAATTCCCGCACCAACAAATACTTTTAAGAGTTCCAAATTTGAATGAAAACAGAATATTATTAAAGAAAGAGATCAGAGATGTGTACCTTTCCGGTTACTCACGACCAGTGACAAGATTTCCAATGTCTCCAAGATTTCCAATGACAAAATTAGTGTTAGAATATAGTCATGGCCTGACCTCAATAAGAGTCATTTTATCCAGATCACCTCGTGCAATCTTGTCTAACTCGTTATGAGGTACCGATATCTGCAATGGGAGAAAAAACAAACCTTTGCTAATTAATTAAACCGTTTCGAGACTCAAATGAAATGAGAACATGTGATCTCTGAGATGTTAACTTTTCAACCAACCTGGTAGTTACGGAACCAAATATGGTCATCAACAATGGAGAAAACAAACACATGGTCATGGTAAGGTTTAGACTTCCTATGTCCCTCGGGAATTCCAAAAATCTGTAAGCAAAAAACAAAATTCATTAAAATGTTAAAAGTTCAAGATATAAACCAAACTAACCGCGACTACAAAAGGATCATCCACAATTCAAAAGTGAGAATGGAAATAGGAATAACCTGAGTTAACATCTCTTTAAGAAGTTTCCACTGTGCATCTTTTTCAAAATTGGATGAGAATGTCGAAAGTGGGCGTGAACCTTTCAGATGATTCCATTGTGTGAGCTTCACCACAAAAACACAAAGACACAACTCAGAGACGATACAAAGTGATAAACCCATCATTACCCAACATAAGATTAGATCCATCAGCTCGTGTCACTTATTTTGAAACCAAATAAGAGAAGCTGGAGACATTACCAGCATTAACCAAGAACTTAACGGAAGGTCCACCAGGGGACTTCACCATCCACATGTAAAGATCTTTGTGCTTCCTACACTGAAGACGAAAACAAACAAACACGTACTAACTTCAGTTTCTTGAAGAGATTGACTAAGTAAATCCAGACATGATGACATCAAAACAGAGAGACTCATGAGCACAATTTGAACCAGACAAGAAAGAATCCAATCAGTTATGCTTCAATGGTATGAAACTTTTACCAAGTTTCATATCATACTTAACTTTTTAAGAGAACTGATAAGAACTGATAAGAACTTTTCGGTTTTGTCTTCCATGTCCTGCAACATTCTTCGATTTGATTTCACCTAACAAATTCAATTATAGCACAAACCCATCAGTATTAACTTAACAGAAACTTGCAGTCTCATCCGATCAGATCGAGTCATGAACACTCAATACAAATTCAAACTAAGTCAATTTTCCAAGAGATAGTTTCAAACTGAATCAAAATAACCAAGAACAAAGAAAACATTGAAAATATTTACCAAAATCAAAACTTTAAGACACAACACATCAATCGATCAAGATCCATAACAAATTTGCGTCAAGTTTCTAAGAGATAATTTCAATCTCAATCAAATAGAAAACAAAATTCCACAAGAAAACAATTACAGAGATCAAATTAAAAAGGTATATAAACAGATAAATTAATCAAAGATCTAGAAACAAAAACCTGCAATTCCACGTTGATGAGGAAGATCAGAGACTATAGACGACGCCATATCTGAAACTTGTTGTTCGTCTTCTTCTTCTTCTGTGATCTGAAGTAACGCTCCTCCAAGACTCGTTAACAGTGATAATTTCAATCTGAATCAGAAGAAGGAAACAAAAAATCAATTAAGCACAAAGAAATCATTGGAAATATTAACCAAAATCAAAACTTTAAGTTACAACAGATCAATCTGAAGAAAAACAAAATCTACAAAAACGTAATTACAAGAAAATCAAAGATAAAATCAATGAAAACAGATCAACCTGCGATTCCACGTTGTTGTTCTTCTTCTTCTGTAATCTGAAGTAACGCTTCTCCAACAAAGATGAAAAGAAATCCAATAACGACCCAATCAGACGCAAATTAGTCTTCCGATTTCAAAATCTCTCTACTTCTCTCAGAAGAAAAAACCCTAATTTTCTGAGTGTAAATTGCCGTTGAAGAAGGGTATATAATGTTTTAAGGAAACTCTGTGCCAGTCTCTAACGGTCATGTTTTATTTATTGCATCTAATCTTGACCGTTGATTTAACTTTAATAATTGGGATCCAAGGGTTTAAGAATTAATGATGGTCATAAACAATATTTTTACTAGCCATTGGAGACAAGGAACCAAGTCGGTGTGGAGCTACCGCTTTTGTTTCTTGTTCATCAAGTTAGATTGCTTCTTACATTTAACTAGGTCCTATCATGTTCTGTACGGGGCATTTTTTTTATTGAGATAATCTAGGAGACAATGGATCAGACTCAAATTAGATCTTGGTGAGTCTAAGAAATAAAAATATTTAGTCCAAGAAAAACTGAAGATAAATGAAACCATACTAAAAAAAACTTGTTCATGGTCAACATTATTATCTTTGACGGATCGTACAGAGGATCCATCTTAAAAACTTAAAAAAAAAACAGGGAAGAACACAAAGAGATCATCACAGCTACATGATCAACAAAAGAAGACTAGGGTTTTGTTTCTTCATGCACAAGAAATAGACAAGTCATCAAGTGAAGGAAGAAGAGCAACTTCAGCGTTTTCTGAGACAAAGTATTTCTTAAACACTCTCTGAAGCCGAGTCCCTTAACTTGATCAGCTTTTTCTCAATTTCATCAGATGTTCATAAAACAAGGAATCTCCAGATTCACCTTGTACGAATCCTAAGTTCTTCACAGAAGATAAATATAAGTAATCAATCGCCAGATTACGACCCTTTACTTGTCTCCCGATTCCCTTGATGCGTTTCATTTCTGTGGTGAATCCATGCCGATGTTCAAGAACCTCCTTAATACATTTGAGAGTAACAAGGAAAAAAGTTGGCAAGTAATGCCACTTCTGCTCAAGATATGTCCAAATCTACACATTTTAGTCATCAAGGGTCTTTTGCACAGAGTAACAGATAGATGTGTGTACTTGCATCGCTAAGACACAGGAGAATATGAAAAAGAGGATGATTGCAGTGTGTTTTTTATCGACATGTCAAGTGAAGGAGCTAGAGATTTTAGAGTATGGAGGTTCTTTCCAAGAGCTCTTATAAACAGAAAGCAAGCTTGGTCCCAAAAGATAAAACTCTCATACATAACTTTACTGTTTCTTTCTTAACTTTGTTGTTTGCCCAGACTACTTGCTCAAGAGAATTAGAGAGCTTCTTATAAAACTGCAAACACACCATCAGCTCATTAAACCAGTTACATACCCTATGATATTAGTCGAAACCAAACTATGGACTTACCTTGTGGAATTCGAGAGTGTCTTCTTTCAACTTCGATACTTGAACCATATGAAGACTTGGTGCTACTTGGAATATCTGCTTGTCACACACCATACAAAAAAAAACACTAGATCAAAAACTCATAAAACACTAGCAGTTCTATCAAAAAAAATTTCCAGTCTCATATAACATACCTCTGTCGCTACATTGAGATGCCCTTTTCTCCCAGCCTTCACATTCTCAAGCCTCATCTGATTTCAAGTAATATACCATGTTTTAGTTATTGATTCATTTCAATTCAATTTCATTCCATTTCCATAGTTTTCACTAACCTTGTAGTTCTTCTTTTGCACATCAAAACCGAGAGGCTTTGCAGCTTCTTCTATCTTCTCGATGATCTCATTCGCGCCTCCTCTTAGTGTTATCCTTGTTTTTTAAAGAAATTATTTCCTTAACAGATTACAAAAAAAAAAAAGAATGCCAGTTTTCTTTATAGGAACAAAATCAAGCACAAAAGTACAAAACACAAACCTGTTCTGGATCAAACAGATGATCTCAAAAGCGTTGATTGCCGCTGGCTGTTCTTCTTTCTTCTCAGTAACAAGATGTTCCTGTACATGATCATCCCATGCGTTATGTGATGCTCTTCTTAAGAAAAATGAAAAAGAACAAGAAAAACTATCCACACCTCAGAGTCCTTGAAAACAGCATCAATATCATCCATGTTTGAATAATCTTTCTCCTCGAAAACTGGAGGCTTGTAATCTTTCTTGAACCATTCACCTTCGAAGACCTCTTGCGGTGTTACACGCTGACACAAAACCACATCAACTCAGTTTCTTGATTAAATTGCATAAGCAACAGAAATTCTGAAAAATCCTCATTCTCAGGTATTCGAAAGACATGTTTATTCGATTACTATGTTTAAACACATCTACTATCCTTTGAACTCAGCTAATTGAGGATTAGTCTTAGATTTTTCCCAAAAAGAAATATAAAACGCGCAATGAAATGAAAGACGAAGCAGATAGAGTTGTACATTTTAATATGCATAACACAGAATCATGGACTCTAAAGATTTGTTCTCCAGCGCTTTTGTGCTGGAAAAATGGAAAACATGGTTGAGTACTACAATAAATCATGGTGCAAAGGAAGGAAGATAGAGCTCATTACTCAACTTAAGATTTTTTTTTAAAGGTCATAAAGTTCATGTTTGTGTGAAAATATTAGCAGTGGAAATGCCTTATATTGGTATGAGCATGTTAAATTACTTACGGTCATCAGGTTTGGATCTAAGATTCGAGTGATGAGTTTCATGGCGCCGAGTGAGAGCCACGGAGGACAATTGAAATCTGCACCAAACAAACAAATGCCAGAAGGGAGTTATATAAAATCCTGAAACAAGGATTGGTGGAAGATTCCATCTAAAAGAAAACATTTTACAAAAGAGTTGCTCACTTTTTCTATAAAGACTCGTTAGATTAGTAACCTGCAAGCAGGAGATAGAGTATAACACCGCATGACCACATGTCCGCTGTTGCTCCATCATAGCCTCTATCATTGAGAACCTAGAACCCACAAAGATATTGGTTATAAAGATGTAAAATGAAAGCATGATATTATAAAGATATAATGAAATCATGTTTGTTTAGGCAGACCTCAGGAGCAACGTAGTTCGGAGTTCCACACGATGTATGAAGGAGTCCATCATCCTGCTACCCCCAAGCATATAAACCATGTGTCAGAATAAATATGGCTAAAATTTTCGATAACGATATACGTAAGTTCTTAGGAAAATATAAAACCAATTCTTGAGACAGTAAAGAATATCAAAAACATTAAAATACTTATGGAAACAGACGGTCAATACCCTGACTTGTTGGACTTGGGACAAAGAACTTAATCCAAAATCCGAGATCTTGAGGTTTCCATAGCCAAAATCACAACACATAACAGTCAAAATTGTGACAACTAATGTGTGCAGGGTACTGATAGAACAAGAAGGCTTTATTACTATTTCCTCACTTTTATAAAAGTAACTCCCAACATGGTTTAAGTAAGTTAGGCTCTTTGGTCTGTATTTATATAACATGTCTCAGAGTCGGGGAAGGGTTTATCGAGATTTCGGTGGTTTGATTGAGAGGAGCAGCATTATCACAACATTAAGGCTTTGTAATTCCAGTCCTACTATCTATAAAACCATTTTATGTTCATATGAAGTACGTTAAGGTCTCTATGGTAGACACCTCTGCTATGACAGTAGTCCACAGCATGTATAAGCTGTTGGAAATATCTCCGCGCCTCATTTTCTTTCATCCGCCCCTCATTTACCTTCATTCATATGTCACACAATCAGATTCCAGCTGTAATGTGGCATCACAAAATCACAATCATTTATAATTGTGCTTACTAACTTACAATCTTATCAGAGAGTTCTCCTTCTGTAACATACTCCAAGATGATAAATATTTTCGTCTTGCTTGCCATCAGCTGCCACCAACCAAACCAATTAGTAACTTCCAAGTAGTACATAATCAAATTATCTAAAAAAAGTGTTAATTACCTCATACAATTGAACAAGATTTGGGTGCTTAATCAACTTCATAGTAGCTATCTCTCTTCTGATCTGTACAATTCAATAAAGAGGCTTTACAACATCAAAATCAACTGATTAAAAAAGAGCAATGTGAAAGCAGAGTATACATAATTCAATAACAACAAACAAAGACCTGTTCAGCTATTTTATGCTTGAGAACTTTGTCTTTATCAAGGAACAAGGATCTTGAGAGCAACATGAGGTGCTTTAGTTTCAGAGTTTCTAGCAAACTTAACTTTAGCAAAAGTTCCGTCTCCAATTGTTCTTCCAACTTCATATTTACCTACTCTACGTTTCACTTGCTGCCTCCGATTCACTCCTTAACAAAGATTACTCTAAAAACTTAGAACACAGGAGGAAATCTCAATCTATACATTAACTTTATTTAAAACGCAAAAAAGAACCTTAATTTACTTGTTGGAGATCAACACAGAAGAAAAGATCTGATAGCTACAGAGAGACTGAGAGAAAGAGAGAGATTCAAAATGGCCTTTGAGAGAGACGAAGAGGCAGAGGTCGTGATAAAGGAAGTTCAAGAACTTTTCGGTTTCACCTTTCCGGTCACAACATCACGACCAGTGACGAGATTCCTTTCCGCACCATTCTTCTGTTTGATTTCGCCTGATAAATTCAATTCTTCGGTATATGTAACAAAAAAAAGAAACTTGAAATTTCATCAGATCAGATCGAATCATGAGAATTCTAAGAGATAATTTCAGTCTCAACCAAAAATAGAATGAAAAAATTAAAAATCCACGCAGTTGCAAGAAATTGAATAAAATAAAAACCAAAGAAAACATTGGAAATATTTAACAAGATCAAATTAAAAGGTTAAAACAGATCAATTGATCAAGATCAGTGACAAATCAGAAACAAAACCTTTGATTCGACGTTGATGAGAGACTCTAGACGCCATTATATCTGAACCTTGTTGTTCGTCTCAAATACTCGTTAACAGAGAAGAAAACATATATCGGAGACGACCTAATAACACTGAATCACTCTCTTTTCAGATTTCAAAATCTCTTTGCTTCTCTCAGAAGAAAAACCCTAATTTTCTAAGTTTAAACTGCGAATGGTAAAATGTTTTAAGGAAACTTTGTGCTTTCTCAAACGGTCATGTTTATTTTTATGAATCGAATCTTGACCGTTGATTTAACTTTTATTTGGGATCCAAGGGTTTAAGAATTAATGATGGTCATAAACAATATTTTTACTAGCCGTTGGAGACAAGGAACCAAGTCGGTCGGTGTGGGGCTGCGCCGTTTTTGTTTCTTGTTCATGAAGTTAGATTTACACATCGTTTTGTTTATTACAAGTTAATAATGATGAAATAACATATCAAAAATCCGATAAAACATTATTTATATACTTTAAATAGTGCACTCAATATATGACCAAAGTCCCTAAGGAGTAAGGACCGTTTTTTTTTTTTTTTCGACAAGTAAGGACCATTTTAGAGATAAAATTGTCAAAGTTTTGAGATAATGAAAATATATCAGTTAGCCACATCATTAGAGAATACCAGAAAGATGCTTGTGCTGCATGCCTTTTTCAGATTTATTGTGCTAACTTTCTATTGTGAGTCACTCTTGAAATACAAGTGCATGGAATAACCAAAGTATTAATAAAGCCTTTTTAACAAAAATATAACAAAAGTATTAACCAATAAAATAGAAACATCAAACATCCTACAACGCCTAATTTCTTTCTTGCTTTCTTTTGTTTTGTTTAACGGCTTTCACACAACTTACTTAAGGCAGTCCAAAAATCTATCGAACACTACAACACAATCAAAATACAAAAGAAAAGAACTAGAGCAAGTCGTTTCCGTAACTATTACGATGCCCCGTGGGAGGATAAGCCTGATGATGCCCCGTGGGAGGATAAGCCTGATGAGGGCCCGTCGGAGGATACACCGGTGGAGGCACCGATCTAACTCCAGTAGGATTATGCCCGTAATCATGCCCCATGACCGGCGCTGGAGCCGGTATAGGACCGTGTTGAGGCACATGTGGACCATGACCAACGTGGTAATGAGATTGCTTAGTCATTAGCTTGTCTTCAGCATGAGCCGCTTTAGCCAAGTGCATATCCATCTTCGCCTCTGCTTTCTTCGACTTCCTTCGCTGGTCCTATCATGTTCTATGCAAGCACGGGGCATTTGTTTTTGCGATAATCGGTTAGCAGATAACGGATCAGATTTAAATTAGATTTTTGGTACATAATTTGACAGTCTAAGAAATAAAATATTTAGCGCATCATTCTGCCAAAAATAATGCCACGTGTTTTCCGGTTTCGAATCAATTCCGACGTAATACATAAAATAAACGTATCAAACTACTTGAAGAGGTTCTATTTATGTTAATAGCGCTATATTTTTATAAAGTTTCATTTCTTTCTTTCTCTTATTTTTATATTTTATTTTTTGCATTACCAAACGTGATCGAATCTTAAATTTTATTGTTCTTATGCATTCATGTTTCGTAAATGATTGTCATTTATTAAAGATTTATCATAATTAGTTCTCGTCTCCGGTCTCTAATTTTCTATAGATAAAAGAAACCGTTATTATATTTAATGGTTCAACAGTGAAAACTCGCTAGTAGTGATAGAATCTAGGGAGAATAACTAGAATGACCTATATATGAGAATTAATAATTAGAATGAATCATATTTTTTAATAATAATTAGAGTGTTTTCGTTTTTTTATTCCCGAAATACCCCTCTAGAGCTTTGTACAAAAAATAAATATAACAAAATTGCCATTAAAAAAGAAATACCAGCGAGGCAAAAGTTACCGTTATTTACAAAAAAACCAGACGTTATTTACAACTTTGCCACTGATCTCTGCGAATTCAAATAAATATGTAGAACAAATCTGCCACAAATTTAATTATATAGTAATCGCCGACTTGTTTTTCTTGCAGATTTGTTTTGAACCACAGATTTGTTCTACATATTTATTTCTACAATAGACTTATCGTACAGATTTGTTTATAGATTACCACCGATTTATAGGCTGTCACAGATTTTATGTCTACCGCAAACTTATCTTACAAATTTTGTTGAGGACATCACAGATTTTCTATGTCTCACAGGTTTATTTATGCAAATTTGTTTTTCTTACAGACTTATTCTCAATCATATTACTGCAGACTTATTAATAGTTAATACCGATTTATTATAATTTCGTACGTTGCTGCAGATTTGATTGACCAAAAGATAATTACTAGATTGACTCTTAGTTGCCACAGATTTTCTTTCTTTGATAACAGATTTATTATGAATCACAGAATTATTTTCCATCATTACAGATGTATTTGACGAAGTGATCGCAGAGTTAATCATGACTAAACTAACTTTTTAGTAATCACAGACTTATATAACTTACAGACTTGTTAATAGTAATACCCTTTGCTTGCATGCTTTTATTCACAAACTTATTTGAAGATGTCGCAGATTTGTTTAATAGAAAAAATTATCATTTTCAAACACTTAACTCATATTTGAGGTATCTAAAAATACAAACAAATCATTATTTAACCATTGTAATCATAATCCCACCATTGCATTCTTAGACAATAGCACATATACTAATTGTATTGAAGGTGGATGTAATCATAAAACAAGTAGGATGACATGAGATGTATTGTAGTTTGTTGTTATATTATTAACACTTTGTAAACTTATATCTATCAAGACGATAGTCTACACCTATGCAACAAGCCCGCGATTACGTAATCACAAATCTACAACAACGTAATAATAAATTTGCATAATGTAAAATGTCTACAATAACAAACAAAACCATATATAAGTCTTTTTGCGAATTGGAAGGAACCATGATATTTAGCAATAGTAACCTTTTGCGATAAGGTGAAGGAACACTTGCAATCACTTAAATCACAATTGTGATACACAATAATAAATTTACGGTAAGTTCAAATAAAATAATGATAGAGAGTAACAAATCTGTGATCACTTAAAACAAAACTGAGATAGACAACAATAAATCTGCGACCATTTAAAATAAATCTGCGGAAGACAACAATAATCTGCAACAAGCCTAGAATAATCTACACATCATCTTATCGAGCGGGAAAAGGGGATTTTCATACCCGTACTATCTGCACCGTGGATTTTCATACTTGGACAATTTTGCAGGGTATTTTACAACCTAAACTTCAATAAAATTTGAATCTCATACCTATACTTGATACAACGTGCAAAAATCGGAGTTAATCTAACGGGTGTTAGTCAACTCCGTTACGGTGCTGAGTCATCGTACACGTGTACGCTGACGTGTATCAAAACGACGTCGTTTTCATACCCGTACTGTCTGCGCCGTGGATTTTCATACCTGGACAATTTTGTAGGATATTTGACAACCTAAACTTCAATAAAATTTGAATCTCATACCCTATACTTGATACAACGTGCAAAAATCGGAGCAATCTAACGGGTGTTAGTCAACTCCGTTACAGTGCGTATCAAAACGACGTCGTTTGATATGTGTTCTCAAAGTTTTAATTTTTTGCAAAATTGGGAACTCGAACCCGCGAGCCATAGTCGAATGGAAAGCACCGAATACCAACTGATCACACAATGTTCATCGAGTATTCCTTAATCTTTTTAACTTATAAACCCAAAAAGTTGTGTGTTTGGAAATAATTAAAATGACGTCTTTTTAAATTGGGAGGAAATTATTTTCTAATTTCCTAGTATTCATAATTTCCTCCCAATATAAAACGACGTCGTTTTAATTATTTCCAAACACACAACTTTTTGGGTTTATAAGTTAAAAAAGATTGAGGAATACTCGATGAACGTTGTGGGATCAGTTGGTATTCGGTGCTTCCCATTCGACTACGGCTCGCGGGTTCTGAAGGTAGAAATTGGAAACTTAATCTCTTTCAGTTTGAAGATTCTGAAGATAAGTATCGATTCATCTTGATTACCATCTGCTTCAAACGCTTAATGATGTAAGTCAAATTAAGACCTAAGACTACTCTCTCAAATAAGAGATCAATTGTAGTACTTTAGGGTCGAAATTTACAAAGCTCTCGTGTTCACACAATAGACTAAGAGGTTTTGAATTAAGCTAAACAGAAAATATAAATATTAAAAATAAAAGAAAGCAATTAAATTCGGGTTCTAAAGCAGATGAGGAAAACGTCAGGCTTAGGGATTTCTCAAGAAATAAATGAATAGTAGATCTAGCAAATTAATTGGGATTATTAACGAACCGTTCTAGAACTCAAATCACTAATTTATAGCCAACCACCTCTCGAATGAATCGACTAACTAAACCTAATATCAGGAAGTTCCACCTCTCGAATGTAAACTCCTAGAATTAGACTAGCATTAATACCAGGTTTGATATGTTCACAGATATTCCTAGACCACCTCTCGAATGTATCCACTAATTTCTGCCCACCTAAGATAGTTCCAATAATAGATGACCTCTCGAATCTACCTATTATCCTATGATCAAATTCTAGTTAATTACTCTAGAATTAGCATTTAGAACAATCAAAGATGAAGAACTCTATAGATTTTATCCTATCAGGTTATCGATCTACTAATTCATCTAAATCCCTAATGAGAATCCCTAAACCTAACAAGCAAACTACTCAGACATGGAGATTGAAACAAACAACATGATTGAATTGAATTGCATAAAGAAATCAAGAGAAGAAGTAAAAGTGTTTGAGAAATCTTCTCTGGAGGAGCTCTCTCCAATTATCTCCCAAAGGGTTCAAGCTCCCAAGAATTACAATAGAATAAAAGATTGATCGATCTCTAAAAAAAAACCCTAAAAACTATTTATAAAGTCTCCAAAACGTGCAAGGACTAAAGTTGCAAATAGGAAAGTCTTCTGGGTTGATTCTTCGGGCTTTAAAACTCTTAAACCGTCGAGATTTTTGCTGGGCCGCGTGTGATGTCGAGCGACACCAAGGGGTGTCAGTCGACACTCATGCCTTGATCTGATACCGAAATCGTTCCTTCAACTCTAAATCTCCGGTTTAGCTCCAGAATGGTTTCTTTTCTCCAAATTTATCCCAAACGTGTAAAAACCTGAAAAGACTCAAAAAGACACTAGAAACAACAAAAAGACTCTAAAAAAAATACATATATCACGGCTAAAATCGGTAAAATCCGTGATATCACTTAAATTTCTAGCTGCTTTCGGGTCAATCTATTGGTAAGTTCTGACCTTTCATGACTATTAATTTTAAAATTCGATGTCTTAAGCTGAGATAGACGAATTGGTCTGTAAATTGAGGTTCATTTAAAGTCATAATCGTAACCCGTGAAGCAATGATATATCAAATTCTGAAACAAATTTATAGAACAGATTAGAACATTGAAGTTATGTCCAATGTTCTGAGGCTATAAACTGATAGTATATATATAACAAAATTAATTTTTTGGTAACCAATGTATTTGATTTGTACATGATTGAACATAGAAGATGCAATGATATTCACGGTTTTCTCAAATGACTGAACCACTCTTATCAACTCAATGACTGAACTACTCCTATCAACAAAAAAGAGAAGGTCAGAGTTTATTATCTAATATACTATACAACTGATAATTTAGGGTAATCTCTAAGTATGAAACTTAAAAAATTTTCTATTGCAGAGGATACTTGTTTTGTTCAGTATAAGGCGAACACATCGAGAAGAGACGTTTGCATCATTTATTCGCACCAATCAGAGGTTAGTTTAAACTTTCTAGTAGCTGAGAGTAATATTAACCAAAGCAATAGGACATAAGTGCATGTAGTTTTTGCATTGTTTGAAAAGAAAATGGTGAAATGAGTGGTTTTATGCTTAAAACAATGATAAGTCATCAAAATAAAAGAAAATGGATCAAAGCAACTGAAAACCAAATTAAAACTCTGAACCACAGTAGGAATTCACTCTTTTTACTCAATCTTGACTTTAAGATTAAAAAACCTCAACAGGTCTTGTATATTGCCGCCACAAGTGGAACACCTTCAACATGTCTTCCACTCTCTCATATCCCTCAAAAAAGCAAATGATACATCCATTGTTGCTGGTAAGGTTTATGAACTTGTAATATATTGCAATATGGTAATGAGAAAGAATGTGTTTAGAG